TGAACTATAAAAGCTAACTGTAGTAATAATATAAGGATAAAGATTGTCTATAGTTCACTTACACTTTTAACGGTTTAAAACGCTTACCTAACTAACTAACATATGCGTTTTAGACCTAGGTTAAAGTTTTGTGGGGGGGTCAAACTTACGTCGAACTAGCGACAAATCGGGTTATTTAATTGAATGTAAATTACTTCGCTGTTCATACGATCGCGTTTTAAACTGTCTTACGTTGTTTAAATATATGTCTTTAAACAGTGGGAACGAATTTAAATTTGTGTGTCAACGAAAAGAGGGGAAAATTATATAGTTTATTTAGTTCTAAATTGCTTAGCAGTAATGTATGTTTATGGGGTCTGCTATAAACGGCTACACCATTTTCTATGGATGTTACTTTATGGGTATTCTTATTAATTATGGGTTTACGAGGCGTACGCTGCAAACAATTCAAGATATCCGAAAATAATGATTCCTCTTTAAATAATCTTTTAAAAAGTCCACGACGCTATATGTCTATCTGTTAAGATTAACTTGTAAGAACGACGGAAGGGACGCGACCTACGTCGTGAGTAACAGCGAAGTTTATAAAGATGACGGGGTTTAGACGACAATACGGAGGGCAGTTAGTGTATTGTACATATAATGTTATACCTACTTATTTGAGTTGATTATTCTTCAACAAAACACATAAATTTAGTTGAGGATAAATCTTACATTATTTGCAGGGAAAATAAGTAATTATCTTAGTTTTATTGACCAAATTTAGTGCTATGTTTTTAAATAAAATTTTCCTGTCACTTTTCCTTATCCAATGTATTATTGGCAACAATATTAACTTTATAAAAACATAAGATAAGCTGCAATATGTGTTGGTTATACCTAGTGGTTCGATAAATTAATAATTTGTAAAAATTTAAACTGTTTATCTGCTAGCTCAATTGATTAGAGCAAATTTGAACTTAAGAAAAAAGGATAAGCTAGCTATCCCCAAATATAGGCTCCATAAAATAACTAATTGATTTGCTGGCAATTGTATTCGTATGTATTGCCAGTTGAGGTTGCAAATTTATCAATTAAGAAGCTTAAAGAAGTCATAAAATTTAGATTGTCTCAAAAGGCGTATTATTGTCTGAACGATTTCTTTAATGACAAGACCGCCTAGCAGTAATATGCATTGCTCCTTAATAAATTCACAATGTATTAGTTTATAAGACCTGTTAAAAAAGCTGGACTGAGTTTCTTGGGTTATGTTGCTCTTGAACAATTTGTAGAATCACGACGAACAGATAGACCAACCCTTTTTAAATTTTTCTTTAACGAATCTAAATACTTTTCTATTTTTAAAAAAAATATAATATATATTTCATTTTATTTGATCTACAGCACGGAACGCTGAGGATTGCCGGTACAAGTCCTGCCGGAGTTGTGCAAATTTTCAATGTAATGGATTTTTAGTTTATAAAGAACATTGTTGGAAGCTATTTATTTGTATTTTATTACTATATTGAGATTGTTTTTGCTTACTAAATAATTAATGTGATTTAACTCTATATAGGGTCAATTTTGATAAGACAAGCAGACATATTTGAGTGCCTTTTTTTTAAATCTCACCGTTTGAATTTATTTGTACAGGGAGTTGTACAAACCCTACTAGAATGTATATATTCATTATAAATATTCAGATATCAAACCCGCGACCGCTCCGGTCCCACCAATGATTCACAAAGCTATAGATGGTGGAGGAATGTAATTTATTTTACATAACGCGATCTGTTAATAATGCAACAACGCGGAAGTCTGACTTCTAAGCCGACAAGAAAAGATAATTTTAATACTAAAGCCACTAATCGATGATCGTATCCAGGCAGAACATAACAATCCCCTTGCCCCCAACTGGGGCGTGGGACAGTCGCATTTTTTGTCCGTTTTTTCTGCTTTTTTACATGCAAGTCCCTATATAGTTGATTGTTTAGACTTCTTTCAGCTGTCTTCGAAATTATTTATCACGTTTGGCATTCCACATTGAGTTGAAAACGCTTTTGACAGTGCGGTTCGAATCTCTGGATTAAATTGTATTACATTATAAATGAATGTAACAAACAGCCGGGAATCGAATACGGACCTTGTATGTATGTACGAAAGGATGTACATCCGCTATACTCAAGACGGCTCTACCATAAATAGTAATGCTCTTGCGCAGTTATACAAATTATTTTCTTTGTTTATTCCACTGTTTTTCCTTTAGTGTGGAATGTTAATATTTACTAGCTTTAGCCGCGGGTTTGTCTGCGAGTTAATGTAATTTAAGTAACCCTGAAAATAAATGAATATTTAAAACTTTTAACCGGTTAAAAGTATTTTATTTATTACACTTGTTATAATTAATATTTGAAGTTGAAGATAGCATTAAGTAATATAATTTATATTAATAGTACAGATAAAACTTGAAATATAAATTTATATTTACAATACAATGTATCGCCCCCTCACTTCCTAAGCATTTGAAGTCGCGTCCCAATTGAAAATTACTCATTAAACTGTTTAAATAATAGCTATTAAACAGTTAAAAATGCTATTCACACATTCTTCAGATACCCGATAAGCGAATTGTGTAACTTCGTTTTAAATACATTTTTAAATGCCTTTGTTATACTTATTAGTGTCCGTCACGAGTCAGAAGTGACTCGTTGGACGTGACTAAATAAATGGACAAAGAGTTTCGAGATAATTACTTTTAACGCATTAGCACGGTTAAATTACCATAGAGTATATTTTAGTAATTATGTTAATCTGCTTTACATGTGTGAGTAGTCTATGTTTTATTCTGGGGCATAGACAAGTAGTTTTTAACTACGGTAACAGCCGGTTTGCACACAACGTTATCACTTGGCAGTAATTAATTCGTCTAAATTCTACTGACACTAGTCTACGTGACTAACACATTTAAATGCAACACTTTATGAGTTTAAAACGCGGAATATATTAGTTAAAATTTAAAACAATATTTTAACCACGGCCCGGCGTTTCGAATGCTTTACAGCGACCGGAGTCACAGAAGGAGACGTCGGGCCGTACTTGAAATTATTTTTATTTTGAAGTAAATTTAACGTGAAAAATGACTTCATGTTTCTTTTTAGCATCTGCGGTTTTACTTTTAATAATTTTAGAACTTAGAAATAACTAGGTAAGTACTTAGTTTAGTAATATCTGTAGTGTACGTGAGTTATAAACATTTTAATGAGACACTTAGCGGTTAAAAACGTAAAAATTTTTTGTCAATTGATTTTTAACTACGACCCGACGTTTTGGATGCTTTATCGCCATCTGTTTCATTGTCATTTGAACAATTAATGCGTCTATCACACATAATTTGAATACGCGTATTAACAGAATGTTTCATTTAAACTAGTAAGAAATAGTGAAACTATCTTTTGACATCAGTTAAAAATGCGTGCATTAATCGCAGCAAGAAAGCGTAAAATTTTGCACACTTCTCCATTTCGTGCATTTAAAAAGTCGTGTTACGAGTATCGCACTGTGCTAGGTTAATTAAATAGGGATGGACCGAGGGTGGCTAGACCAAATCTATACTAATATATAAAGCTGAAGAGTTTGTTTGTTTGGTTGCGCTAATCTCAGGAACTGGGGGGGGGGGGGGGGGGGGGGGGGGGGGGGCCCCCGGGGGGGGGGCGGGTATACTTGAACATAGTTATAAATTAGTAGTCTTTCCAGATAAATGCGCAAAACAATGAAACAGGTAAGTAGAACGAATGGTTTCTGACGTTTGAATTAATAAAAGTCGTTTTAACTTTTGGGATACAGACAGGCACCCTTCGTGCGTGCGTAATTTTCACGCTAACAAGTGTAAATGTCGGGTTTCTCCGTAATCAATAAGCTAGTCTTGATTATGAGAATAATACACAGGAGAATACTTTTAAGAAATTGTACCTTCATGATTCATAAATATCGCCAAGACGCGGTGACGAATTAAAAAACAAGTGTCGACTTTCGTAATTTTAAATTTCGAACACCGCGTTAAAGCGGTACCTACCGCCTTTGTATTAAATTTAATTCCACAATAAAAAAATGTATAGGACTGTGTTTGAAATATCCATATTTAATGAATTAACCAGAGTTCCTCATAGTTATCTTTTAAATAATGTTTCCTAAATATTCGAATTGTTCTCACTATATTAATATTATATTATAATTATGAGTTTTTAATTATTTTATAAAGTATTAGAACCCACTAAAATTTAAATCGGGAATGAATCACGAAGCAGTTGGAAGTCACGGCAACGAATAAAAAGAAGAGTCAACTTTCGTAAATGTCAAATTTCTAACACAACTTTATTGAGGAGTTTCTGTCAAAGAAGATTTCACATTGATTGATGTACTGGTAAATTTGAATAAATACTATTTTAAACTGGTGTGTCAAAAGAAAGGGCTAAAAAAAAAGAAGTGTCAACTTTCGTAAATTTCAAACACAACTTTATAAAGGAGTCAAAGAAGGTTTTACATTGATTGATGTACTGGTAAGTTTGAATAAATACTATTTTAAACTGGTGTGTCAAAAGAAAGGGCTAAAAAAAGAAGTGTCAACTTTCGTAAATTTCAAACACAACTTTATAAAGGAGTCAAAGAAGGTTTTACATTGATCGATGTACTGGTAAGTTTGAATAAATACTATTTTAAACTGGTGTGTCAAAAGAAAGGGCTAAAAAAAGAAGTGTCAACTTTCGTAAATTTCAAACACAACTTTATAAAGGAGTCAAAGAAGGTTTTACATTGATTGATGTACTGGTAAGTTTAAATAAATACTATTTTAAACTGGTGTGTCAAAAGAAAGGGCTAAAAAAAGAAGTGTTAACTTTCGTAAATTTAAAACACTGAAGAGGTTTTATTAAGTTAAAGACCAACCAGCCATTTCCTAGACAGTATTGGGTATGACGAACACGTAAGATAAATAAAGAATTTATAATCAAATTAATCATACTCACTTGGTCTTCTGTTGGGTGTTCGTGTGTACAATGTCTGTGTTGATGTTGGTCCGTTTCCAATTCGTTCACGTACGTGTAAGAAAACACACAATTCACCAACAAACTAACACAAACACACAGTAACAGCGTCATTTTCGACATTTCTATGGGATTGTTTACATTTTAAAATTAGTTCTTCATCACGTTCAAACACATTGGAGAACGCGATCAAACTAAAATTATTGTTGGAATTATCAATACTTCGTGGTCAGACGTCGGATGTCAGGTTTGATTTGACAGTGACAGTTGGCAGCAAAGCGAGACATCTACAGTGACAGATGTCAAAACATCTCACTTAGCTATGTAATGTATTGTAATATTAATTAGGATGTAATTGATTAAGATTGTATTATTTCGGTTAAAATAAATAAATTCACAGTTAAATATGAATGAAGTTTTGTATTAAAATTTTTATGTAAAATTATTAGTTTGTTTTAAATCTTGCCATATATAAATATTTTTCGAAAACGTGAGGCCGTAGTTAAAATAATTAGTATATTGCACAGGCTCCAGGTGCTTCAGAATCGGTCCACTCGAACCGCCCCTGGAGCCATCTGGTGCGTACGGAATGCAAATTTTCACGCCGATCTCGAATTACCGACCCTCAGTCGGTACTTCAAGGAAACGTCCGAACGTTTCTTTAAAAAAGCCGCGACGCATCCGAACCCACTGGTGGCCCGGGCCGCCAACTACACCGTTCCCATTAATACACGCTGGAGAAGGCCGCGTAACGTTCTCACCGACCCCGATGACGACTTAACCAAAGCCGTCGACTTACTTATTGCTATGCGATCGGCCGACACCGGTGCCGATCGCCCGCAAAACCGCCTACGCCGGCGTAGGCGAGGTCATTCGCTTCGCGTACCGCTCACCCGGGTGAGCTTCCGTCCAGCTCTTCTAGCTCCCACCCGCATTGCGGCGGTCCAAGCCGAGGCCGATGCCCCCCTCGGGGCACCCTTGGTCTAGCCGCAAACACGGCGAGCGCTATCGCGCTCGCCCAAAACGCCCGGTTAGTATTCGTGGCTCCTTAGGAACACAATACGTAAGAGTCCAATCAAAAAAAAAAAAAACATGAAATTAACTACAACTTTAAAATTTCTTATTTAAAAATATATTTCGATATATGAACCTGACTGCAATTTTAGTGAAGTGCTAAACAGATGTTGCAAGAATTTTTGAAATATTCATTCAAATAGATATATTGTACAATTTTAAAGATCATATTATGATAAATTTTAATATTTAAAAAATCATTAAATATTGTTTTATTACTTAGAAACTCGAAGTAATAAAAACGGTCATGTTTAGTGAAGAATGATAGAATATAATAATGTATCCCACAGCTAATATACTAACTTCCTCGTTAGTTATTGACTTCAGGCGGTCCTGAGTTTGAATCCCGGGATGTCAATTCGGATTTAAAACTTTTCTAGAAAAAATCTGCTATCAGCCTTCAGTAGGGAATAGGTAAGTTTGAAAAAATTACACTTTAATTACCAGTTATCGTCACCTATTTAAAGGTGTATTATTTAAGCCCACTAGTCCGTGTACGAAGCAGCGTGCTGGTTCTATCTTATTTTAGATTTTAAGTCTTCAATTATGATTTGTATGAGACTGCCAGGGGCAGAGTGGCCTAATAAAAAAACATGATTTTCAATAAAGAGGAAATTAAAAATGCCGAATAACTTAGGCGACAGTGAATTTGTGTAGGAATTATGTTATCAATTTTCGGTCACTGTGCTCTTGTAGAGTAACATTTTTAGACTATGACAATATAAACAAATCATAAAATTGCAGTTAGGCTACTCTGGCTCTGGCCGCCTCATATAATGAAAAAATGGTATGCCTCATTAATTTTAATAATGTCTTGTTACAAATTGACTACGCAACTGTTTCGATTAAGTGCTATGATTATTTTCTACGGCTGAATGCAAATTGGCAATTGCAATTCGCAGTGACACAAATATCCTTTACTTCTCAACCGAAACATGTTTCGTTGCATCATTAGAAAAGATAGATCCGTGCATTCGTCGAGGTCGATTTACAAAAATTCATGAATATCTACAAGATTTTCAGAATCACTAAGCGTTTTAAACCGTTCAAAGGAGTTTATTCAAATAATTGCGGTTGGGAATACAATTGAAACTTCTCTATAAATAATTCTTTTTTTGGCACTCAAAACGAGGTAGTGTTCGAAATTTGAAATTTACTAAGGAGGGTAGAAACGAGATTGCTATCACTTCAATGTCTGTCTACCTGCAACAAAATGTATTTTAATTATCACGACAGCTGCAGAATTCGACAAATATATTAATTTGTCGAATTCTGCCGTTTCAATAAGAACAATTACTGGAATAAAACAATGGAAACATATCTTTTCTATAATTCAAGATTTTTTTTAAATACATATTATTTAAACGTTAGTGAAGTATAGGTACTTTTGGATAAAAACATTTATACTAATATTATAAAACTGATAAGTTTTTTTGTTTGAACGTGCTAATCTCACAAAACATCACGCTGGGAAGAAACAGTAAGATATGTAGAATAAACGGGCATTATGATTCATCTTTGTGGGTTTCCGTCGCATACGCTGAGTAAACTGTTCAAAATCTCCAAAAAATATGTAGAAAAGAATGATTCCTTTTTAAATAATCCTATTATAATTTATAATTATAAGAAGCTATTATTTATAAAGTGTACTACGCGAACAAAGTCGCTGGCGCAGCTAGTTTAGATATAAAAAACAACATACTGTATCTATAACATATATTTACCATATACCATATTTACAATAACAACACCATATATTACAAAAACAATACTACCATTTTGTATCATTGCGCGCTGGTTTAACAAATACAAAATTTAGCCTTACAAGAGTTCCGCAATAAAAGTAAAATAACAATACGCAAATGCTTCGAACACAACACAAGAAACGGCTCTATACTTTTCGATGAGATTTTTCAAAGTTTAATGTTATAGCGAGCAAGATTTAAACAGGAAGTTGAAGATAGTTTTGGTCAAATGTTTCTCCGAGGACTCAGAAGGACTTGGCAATAAGTGATAAAATTTGCAGAGAGCTGTCAAAGTTAGTAGTCCTAACGACGGGTTCTTCCAAAACCTCGCAAGGAGGAAATGGAGAAATGGGTGAAATGGTCGGCTGATAACGTGAGACTGATCACCCGGCCTACCACAGGTGGCCCCGTTAGAAAATAATAATAATAATAATGACGGGTTGAAATTTGTTTTTATTTTGTACTAAAGCTAGTGACGAGAGATTTTTCTTTTTCCGTTACGCTGTTGCTTCTTTTGTCTGATCCATAAAATTACACAATTTCTTATAAAACTCTTTAGACGACTGACATCTTGCGCTTACGCAGTGCGGACATCTGAAAAAAAATAAGGTTCAAAACATGCAGGATGTATATTAGTATGTAGGTAGTCGATATTTAAAATTAAGATTGTGTGTGAGTAGTATACTTTTAATGGTTTAAAACGCGAAATTTATTAGATAACTTTTTAGTTGTTATTATTTTAAATTGAATTTAAATTTGTAGTTAAATAAAAATAAGTTAAATAAGATTTATGATTCAACCTTCCAACTCAAAGGAGACGCAAAACTAAGGACCATAGTTGTAGCGAATCATCGGAAACATCGTAGTCAACAATAAGGTAACAATATATGTCGCGTTTAAATCTAAATAAAACACTTATAACGGTTTAAAACGTGAAATAGCTCTAAAAAATACAAAAGGACGCTTCACAGTAACTAGGGTCCTAAACCTTTAGTTTTTCGTTAATAAGAGGTCCTAGATTAGAATCCAGAGGAAACAACAAATCGTTTTGTTTAAGCAGGACCCAGAAATATATTTAAAGGCCTGTAAATATAACCAATTCGTGGAATAGACACACAAATGTGTCCACTTCACAGAATGGAACACATATTTTTCTATACACCCCACAGGGATAACTTAAGTTTACTTTTTTTGTGAGCGGTCATAATGTGTTTTTCCAAACCCCAAACCCCTTAGTATACCTGGACAAGAATTGCCTAGAGACGGACGGTCCCGAGTTGAGGTGGTGAGCGACTACATCCGCCATAGCTGCTATGAAAGTGGGATGGTCGTTCGGTGTTGCCGCCCTCTCTATCTGGGTGATGCCAGCCTAAAAAAGTAAATGTACATCTTTATTAATATTAATGAAACAGGAATGTTTGTCTGTGTGAATTGAAACTATTATATATTTTTTAATGATAGAGATCGATAGATAAGCGTATATGTCAAGAGGGTGCGCTGTCGACCTCTTTTGGCCTTCGGAAATCCACAGACCAAAACGCTATTAAGCTTCAGGGCATTTTCATCTGAGGACTGTAGTTCGTGACCAGAAGGAAATTGTGAGCACCTATTTGATATCCCGCTTTCCAAACTAAGCCCAACATGTATATAGAAATATGTATTACAAATTGGTTAGATACATGTAAGACCCGGGGGATTATATGATCTTTCAAACGAAGAAATATATAAGCCGACAGAGGATATATAAATAAATATATATTTTTAAGATCATCTGCATTTTTTCTATCAACACGTTTGCAAAATGTTACTCCAATGGTAGATATTAAAACACTTAACTGTTTAAAACGCGTAAAAAAATATTCATAACTCCAGTTGCTAAGAGGCATCTGAAACGTTAGGTCTTAGGTACAGATCAAAATGAAAGTAAATTTCGGAGTTATTAACAGTTAAAAATGTTTTAATAACCTATATATATATATATAGGTATATATATAGTATATATATATATATATATTATATATATGTGGTTATATAAATACCTCTTTTGCCACCTCATCACAGTATTCGATGTCCAGCTCGTGCAATGTTTCAATATGTTCGTTGACGAACGCAATTGGCACGAGGATCATGTGTTTGATTCCTTTTTTTCGCGTAGGACTAAAAAAAAGGCTAATTTTAGTCCTGTTATACAAAAAAAGAATTTAAAGCAATATGTGATTTTCAATTTTCAACAATTGATTATATATCGACTTCCGACCTACCTTAATGGCATCGTCTGTATACGGTTGCAGCCAGGGCAAAGGCCCCACCTTCGATTGCCAGACAAGTCTGTGAGGGTTTGGGACTTGCAGTTTGCTCATCGTTGCTGCAACGGACGCCGAGACCTCGTGCGGGTAAGTGTCGCCGCGAGAGACTGCCTGGAAATGAAATTTCAAATTTTTTGTGGGGTTTTCTTCTAGGGGCTGAATAATGCTCATGTGAATAATGGAACGCTGTGGATGCCGGTTCAAGTCCTGCCCGAGTCGTAATTTCAATTTGTAATCGATGAATTTGTATAACAATAGATTGATTACCATTGTAAATTGATACACACCACAGCTAAACCATAAAAATGAATTCTATGTATGTCACCGATCAACTTTTTTTAACAAGCAAAGCCAAACTTACGTCCCTGTCTAAAAAAAACATTGAAACAAATTTTGAGCACAAAACAGTTTCTTCGATGTCCTATGAAGGCGGTACTTCGCAGTTCGTGTAGTAGAACAAGTCTGGCGAATTATTTTTAGGCATTAGTTCGAATTTAAAAAGTATTTTGGTACTGCTTAGAACATTTATCTTTGAAGACTTTAGGTATGAAACACTGCGTCCAATAGGAGCGAAAAACAGTCAGTAGATAATGTGGACTGGTCACCTGACTTCTATCTGTGTCCCCAATAGAAATAATAATGATAAATTCCTGAGATAAGCCCGTTCAAACAGACAAACTCTTCGGCTTCATCTTCTTTAATTTACCTTTAGCGGCAAGCTATGTGCAGTGAACATAATCAAGACTTGATCTCGCACATTCCCATCGAACAGCTTCAGTTTCTCCTTAATACGCTCTGCAAACACTGTCGCCAACAGAGGATTGCTACCCCACCTCTCTATCAAACTGAACTTTATGTTCGGTTGCTTTCTACAAAAAAAAAGGAAAAACAAATTCTAATAAGTGGTCAGTTATATCCTTATAACAGGTGAATCAGCTCATATAAAAGTATATAGATACACATTTTTCGTTATTTCCTTATTGTAAAAACAGATATTTCAAATAATATAGAATTTTTATATAAGAAAACACTGTTAACTCAATTATTGTAAAAAATACAGATACCAACCTGTTTTTGTAAAAATCGGCTATGGCATTCAAACTGGAGCCAGTAGTGGCGCAGCTGTATTGCGGGTACTGAGAAAAGATGACAGCGCGTTCAACGCCATCTCTGTAATAAAGAATAAGATTTATACTTCCCTATTCTGAGAGATGTCAAAATAAAGCTTATTCTTGAAATACATATACTTGACAGGCTCATTCGACCAAAGGTAGCAATATATAGCAATGTCATACTAGCTGTGCCCGCGACTTCGTTCGCGTGGAATTGTGACTTGGGGTAAAATTTTCAATTATTTAGGCTGTTTATTAATTTATGTAATTGCGCATTTTGTCGCAGCCAATCTGGTGTAAGTGCTACTTTGTCGCAACACTCACACCTCACATCACTCCTACTCTAACTCCCACTCCTATTCCCGAAAAGGGAAAAAAGGAGAAAGTTTCATTGTTCTAGTTTTAAAAACTACGAATTTCCATACAAACTTACACCGCCCCCTCCACCCCTTAATCCCTTACAAACCCCTTTTCGCAATAAAAAGTAGCCTATGTTCTTTCTCAGGGTCTAAACCATCATTCAAATCCGTTCAGTAGTTTTGGCGTGAAAGAGTAACAAACAGACAGACAGAGTTACTTTCGCATTTATAATATTAGTAAGGATAATGAATCTTGGGTTCAATTCCCATTGGGTCTATCTGTCTTTGAAAGTCTATATTTTTTTCTGGAATTTGAAATTCGCCTTTCGGTTTCCGTCCCAGATCTTCAAATGACCAAAATCAAAAAATATGTGTACGGCCCATTTTGTTGTTGAAAAGTTGGCTAATAGTGTCAAACAGTGTTTACAGTCCTTTACAAAATACGAGGACACATAATAGTCAGTGAACGATATTATAGCACAAATGTACAAAGAAAAATGGGGTACTATAACAGAACCAGGGAACATCTTCAATATATCGCAAAATGGTCAGCATAATTTTTAATACTTTTAAAAATCCATCACTCACGCCTCCATCTGCTGTAGGGCATCCTCGGTGAAGGGTGGGACATATCTGAACGCTATGTAGTGTTTGTGTGGCGCAGACGCAGGCAGCATTTGATCGAGAGCCTCTGTTAATAGTTTACCTGGAAACCCAATATAAGTAATATTTTATCTGTGGCGTTGTCTGTTTTGTTTCATGTATTGTATTAAGTAAATATACCTTGTAAGTCCGTCCACCGGTATATAGGTGAGCCTCCACCAATTTCTTGGTATTTCTTTTTGACCTCCTCTGTCCGTCTGCTAGCTATCCACGGGCCTAGTTTACTCTGTACTGGTAGTTGGATCATATCTCTGTCTGTCATTATTCTGTGCAAATAGTCCCCCACCTGAAAAAGTGTAACAGAACATGGTGGTACTATATAAATTGTAACTCCATCTACATTAAGGAGTGACTATTGAACTTTTAGGTTGCACAAACATGTTGGTACAATGTAAATGTATAGGACATGGTGTTGCAATTAGGAGAGATCTTTGAAAGTTTGCAAACTTTGTTGATGAGCAACAGCACGGAACGCAGTAATTTTTTTACAATCTCATTTTTTAATGTGTACATGTCCAGAAATACCACTCTTATTTAAAATGCTACAAGTACTTCCATGTTTAAAGCATACCTGATCCGTGGTTTGGGGTCCTCCCATATTGAGCATAACAATAGCAGTTTTAGGCTTTTGCAACTGGCTGGCACAGCGCACACTACTTGCAAACTGGGGCAGGGTTTTGGCATTTCGACCTAAGGAACAGGGAGTTATTATTATCATCCTTCCAAGAGCCTCTCTTCAGTGAAGAAATTTGTTAAAATTTATGTACAAAATTAAATTAAAATCTCCTTTATAGCTAACAAAAATTAAATACATTTGCTTTATTCTGTATCTATTACAATCTGATAAATATTATTTGCCCCATCTGACCCAAACATTATGTTATCATGCTGCCATGGGTATTAAACCTAAAACTTTAACACAATGCATTTAACCACTGAATCATTGCATCGATGCAGTGTGGTCACTTGCAGGGTAGTCAGATTATAGTAAGGTGAATTAAAGAAAACGTTTTAGAGTCCTGCATACATACTTATAATTAATAATAAGTCTTATTATGATCATAACCTTTTTAGATAACCTGCATATCTAGAACATTTTTATCTATCTAGTGTCTATATCCTACATTGTAACAACGTACTTAGCTCTAGTTCAATGCTCTAGTCAAAGCTTAACGAAAAGGCATTACACGTTACTTAAGCTAACATTTATACACTATTGTTATAAAAATTATCTAACTGCACTATAAAAAGTCCCCAAAGAATTATTACACAATCGTAATTAATTAAAAACTATGGCTAAAAGTGTAATATAAAATCCTCTCCTATTAATTTTCTGTTATTTGGTTCGTTAAGAATGACTATAATAGAATTATATTCGCTTTGCATAAACAAGTAATTTCCAAGTTTTGTTCAGGCCATGAGCAACAATGTATATATTGGTTCACAATTTTTTTTATTTTTGATATTGTATACTTGATTTAAATAATACAATAAACTCACAAATAGATGAAATCATAATTAATCTTGCGTAATTTCCTAAATTTCAACACTGCACTGATTTACTTAATTTTGTGGAAACCGGTTGGAAAAAATATATCTCTAGTTCGCACCCAATTCCAACTAGACTTGAATATTATTCATCTAGACTAGGTCATAACGTGTTTCAAATTATGTTAGTAAAAAATCCTTTATTTTAATAATTATTCCGTAAAAATATGCAAAATAGCTTCCACCGTGAAGATCACAACTTGTTTTTTATTTGCAGACATTGGACAGCAGCAGCTTCTATAGATAATTTGATATTGTTGTATGTGTAATCTGTGGTGTAAGTGTTGTGTGTTTTTTTTTATATACCAGTGTAAAAAAACCTATGAGAAAGGTTTAATTACTTATATGTAATACATTTTAGACATAAAAATATAATAAAGAATTAAGTAAAAAAAATTAAATAGGAACCTATAATTTTCTTCAGCTCTTGTTACATAAAGATAAATTCTAACTGAACATTTATATTTTCATTATAAGACTCTTAGAAAAAAATTATGTAATTGCAGGACAGTAAAAAAACATTAATTATATGATATGATAGATGAGCTGACAAGTATGGGCTAAACTTAATGGAAGGTGATATTCACCAGCCATACAACATCTTAACAAGACTCAGTTGACCTATTGTGGCTTTGGACATTCGGATAATTAAATTATGTTAATAATTAATCTTGCTTTAAGATTTAACTATAAAGGACATTGTCTGTTCTTTCGTACCAGTAGACTATAGAAAATTTAGTCAAATGTCAATCCTCAATGTCAAATGGGTATTTTAAATTTTTGTAATCGCCTCGATTGTTTTCTAATTTTCTATTGTTATTATTTTTTTATAAAATATTCAGTTTTGTTTTAACTTTAGAAAATGTCATGCCGCAATGCCTCGCACGCTGGTAGCTGGTACACGGAGAACGGTGAGTTTTCTTTTGTAACTATTGATTTCTTGAACAGGTCAAAATGCTTTGTCAGTAGGCCTGTAGTGCACAAGAGGTGCATTTTGAAGGTAAAAGGTGAACGACCCCATTTGATTCCTAGTTTCAGCAGTTCCCAGCTGCGATTGGCAACAAATTTGTTTTCTATAATCTTTTGACTTATTAGTTTTCAATTAGAATTCAATATTTTATTAATACTCTCCTATAAAATTGAAAAGTTTTTGGTATACTCATAAGTGGACAAATAATATGCGTAAAAAAATCCTTATTCATATACAGTTTAAAAATGGAGGTTAAGGTTCATTGTATCTTTTGACAGTTTGGAGTTTGAAACTGTCAGATACGAAACACTAGGCAGAATAAGATTTATAGGACATGTAAATCACGTTATTTATATAATAATTCTTAGACCTTAAAGACAAAAAGAAAAGCAACTTATCAAAGAATTATACAAACAATTGAATTATAATATTACTAATACCTATTTGCTCAGTATTTTCGAACGCACGTCGCCATGACAGTGATTTAAACAGCTGTCGAAGTTAACGCATTTTTAAAAGAATATTCGCTATTAGAAGTTTTGTATTTGTAAACATAAAAATGGATAAAAAATTAATGGCTCCACCGAAAATATCGAGAGTACGACATTCCGTGCTCCCATCAACATCGAAGGAGACACCGAAGGTCGCTGAGAAGCAAAAGGCGCGTCGTAAAATGAACGCGACGCTGATTGACTTTGACCAGACTAAATCGGAGCCGCCCGTAACTGATGCATATGCTCGTCTTGCGGCTCACCAGAAGGGGCTACGGGCGGTTCTAGCTGATTGTCTTCTAGATTCTAAAATAAAGAAGGAAGAGACTGAAGTGGATATCCAATTAGGTCAACTAGCGGATAGATTCAGTAAAGCTGTAGATCAACTAGACAAGACTAACAGACGTCTAAAGGATATCAAATTTACCGTCGAACAGAAGAGGTTAGCGTTTTCTTATTAATCATTTGTAAATTGTGAGTAAGGGGATAATTTAAATTAAAAATCGATTTTACATTGAAAAATATTTACAACAGCAAGACTTAAACTGGCATCCACAGTTGTTGCTTCAATCAATTGAGCAACCGTTTTCTACATGTCATTTTCAAAAAAATTTACCCTATTGAACCTTCTCCTCTAACCCAAAGTCCTATTAAAATTATTTATATTTGTTAATCATTTCAGACTTCTTGATCTAAAGAGTGTCGACTGTTCCAAATTCTATGAAACTACAGATGCAGCTGGCACTGATGAAATCCTCCGAAACTTGGCAAGATCTGAACAAGCTTACCTCGATAAACTAGTGACAAAGAATATAGACTTTGGGTACAACAAGGAGTCTGGGCACAAACAGCTTTTAGATGCTGTGAATGATGCGATCAAAGGCTTTGAAGAGATCAAACTGCATTCTCACCTTGATACGGATAAATTAAAGCAATTTGAGAAATTACACGAGACCCAACAGTCGTTGGAAGGGAAGTGTACAGACATTGATAGTTACAAAGTGTTGTTTGAGAAGACATTTCCAAATACTTGTGATGAATTGTTACAGCAGGTGTCGGAACAGATAGATGCGATGATGAAGAATGATTAATAGTCTATGAATAGATGTAACTGTGATTGTAATGTTCTGTTGTCTATTTAATAATATGTCTTGTTAAATTAAAGAATGATATGATGAAAAGCTTGTTTCTGCTTTATTTTCCTCAACAACCCATGAGGACCCACATTTATGGTCGTACCCCCATAATATCTTTACTGCAAGCTTCTGTAAGACCTTATCTATACTATAGTGTACTTTCTGACAACCTCCCCTTTACTGTTATTAAGGCTTACTAGGGATCACCCAAATTGTTTAATCTAACTAGGTAACAATTCTTGTTCTAGGATCCGAGTTATCTCGACAACTAGACTTGTGGTTGTCCAAGGCTGATCTCACACATGGACCAGCTAGGGCAATCATTGCGCCGTGAGTATTGTCCCAGCTTATAGACCCACCATTGGGACACAAAGATATGACAATATAGGCTAATAATTGGGTACATTTGGAAACTAAAGTTTGAAAGCCCTATAGAAATTAGGGAATTTACTGACTTCTTAATGGGTTATGTATTTATATACAACTGATCCGTTCATTACATGTGGATATAAATCTTGTCAAATAGTTCTGCATCTATGAGAGATCCTTCAGACCATCTATGTCTGTGGATATGTTGTCCAATTAAAATGTTCAATTATACTAATATATTAAGCTGAAGAGTTTGTTTGTTTGTTTGAATGCGCTAAACTCAGGAACTACTGGTTCGAATCGAATTTTTTTGTGTTGGTAAGGCCATTTATCGAGAAAGGCTATGTATAATTAGGCTATAAAACATCGGGCGCTAATAGGAGCGAAGAAATAGCGGAAAATGTAAAAAAAAAACTAGGGAAAATTATTCATTTCTGTGAGTTTAAATGTGTTTCTGTTTTAAATGATCGAAAACTATTCTACGCGGACGAAGTCGCTGGCACACATAAGTAAAGTTCAAACTCTTGACTAAGATTATCGCAGTGAGCATGCTCAATCAAGGAAAGTTGATATCACGGGGTAATTAGATTTATCATGATTTTTTTTCTAATTTCAGACATGCTGGCTATTCCTATTGCGGCGCATGCGCAGCGTTCGCCTATAGACAAGTCAGTCCTGTCGTTGTGTGAGTTAAACATGTTTCCGTAAAGTTAAAAATGTGTTAAATTGATCTTTAAATTCTTAAGTTGACTAATAAATAATTATTCTGAAATACATAGTTAAATAGTTTAAACTTATTTAATATTCATATAAGCAACTATGCCATCTTACCTAAAATACTTTAAAAACATAACTTTAAAATGGTCTAAATAATGTGGAATAATAGGATAACTTTGTTTATTATTTTCAGCTTTGTAATAAAACAAAATGTATTTCAGTAAAAGAATCTTCATTTTGGGACCGTCCCATCACGTCCGTTTGGCGGGCTGTGCGCTCTCTTCATTGGATAAATATGCAACTCCATTGTATGATCTCACAATTGACAAGCAAAGTAAGTATTTTATCTGTTCCCCTATTCCCACTTAAAAGTAAGTATAATTTTTTAAATAAATAATTCATAAGGTAACTTTTCTGGGCCTCTTCAAGATCTAGGCGTGCAATGGACTTTATAGTTCCTCTGTAACTCTTGATCCACCTTGGTGTGGTTAGGGCTGATAAGTTGGGAGCAATCTTTTGTGTAGATGACTCTGTCGATGTCAATCTGATTGGTCAATTTTATATAATATCTGAATCTATACAACTTCAAACTTATAATATTAGTAGAATGTAATCTCTGTTGTTTATTTTTATAAAACAACCTGTATAATGGTTTCAGTTTACGCCGAATTAGAGGCAACAAGGCAGTTTCAAAGAATGAACGTGACCACAGACGAGGACGAACACTCCATCGAAATGCATTTACCCTACATTGCCAAAGTTATGGAGGAGTGAGTGTATATTTGTCAAATATATTATAAAATCAATTATATCTCGTTATTTTGATAGTGATAGGTCCAATAGTAGTAAAATAGTACAATTGAGTAGCATTTTTTAGGTTCGTTGGGTCCAAAAATTTTTATTCTGACTTCGTCTGTAAACTGGATATTAATTGGGTGGTAGGAATGTCGAGATTCCGTCCGGGTCACGAAAAAGTCGTGACGTTTAATCGCGTTTCGGTTTCAGTCTGCGGAATTCCGAATATCCAAAGCCCAAATAGGTCGATCGCACATCTTGTTTAGATGTTATATGGCATCTGGTGTATTCACTCTTAGTAATTAAAAATTTACTAATATATAAATAATTAACTAATACAATCAAATAATGATAACATTTCTTCCAGATACAAGACCAGCTTTACCATAATACCGATTCTGGTTGGGACTCTCACACCCGAAAAGGAAGCTAAGTAAGTTTCATTCGTTAAAAAATAAGTCTTAACGATGAATGTAATTGTCGTAATCCCACGCTAAAGCAACGCAGTGGGTCTAAGCAGTCTCCTATGGGAAAGCAGACTTGTGCCATTGAATTATAACTTTAAAGTTGTCATTAACCTTACGTTTAACCTAAACACTACACACAAACACACTCACTCCATTCAAAAACATACGCTCCCAATTCAAACACACGCACCTCATTCATGACACATTCACCCCATTGGTAGACACACACACACTCACACACCTTTCACACTCACACACCTCATTTACCCACAATTACATCCCGTTTAGCCACTGGAGTAATAACCCAATAACAATAACTTGTTTGACAGGTACGGTGCGATCCTCGCGCCCTACCTGGCCGATCCTCAGAACCTAGTGGTGATCTCCTCCGATTTCTGCCACTGGGGTTCAAGGTTCCGTTACACGTGGCGCGACAACGCTCGTGGGCACATACACCAAAGCATCGAGTGGTTGGACAAACTGGTTAAGAATTTATATGTTTTGTACTAGCGACCCGCCCTGGCTTCGCTCGGGTAACTAGAAAATCGAGCGTTGCATATAAAAAGTCATCACTCTGTCTATTAAAAAATGCGTATTTTTAAAGATTTAAGCGCAAATAGAGACAGATAAAGGCACTTGAAATACACCATTTCTAACAGTTTAAAACGCGATATATATTAGTGAAATTGATTCCCCCGTGACCGCTGATCCTACAAGGCGTCTGAAACCTCGGGTCTTGGTAAAAATGAAATAAGAATAATTTAACGAATATATTTCACGTTTTATACAGTTTAAATGTTTGTTACTAGCATAGATGCTTGTTTGCGGCAAGTTGATATTTTCTTTCTCATGTAAAATTTTGTGGATGTATGAATGTTTGTTTGTCTTTTACATCTAAATAGATATATAGAATTTTACTAATTTATATCGCGATTTAAACAGTTACGTTTTTTATGTGTACCTGTCGCGTACCAGTATTAAATTGATATATAGACAATATAGATAAGAGTAATATTAAGATTTTTGGTTTTTCATTGGTCATCTTCTCCAGGGTATGGACATCATTGAGAAGATGGACCCAGCGTCGTTCACAGCATATCTCAAGAAATATAGCAACACTATATGCGGAAGACATCCCATCGGAGTGCTATTGCAGGTGAATTAATATAAAAAAGGTCTTTTATAAACTAACCAGATAATAGTTATAGCATGTAACCTTGCCTTCCGCTAGACTAAGTGGGCCCCTTACAGGGCCTTACCTCAAATTAGACAATAGCTCACCCAGATAAGGTTATAATTTGACAGAAACAGCACATCTTGTTTATGTGTTATATGGTTGGGTTATTTTACTTGGTTTATCTTGTGATCGCCGTGCTTGGCTACCGTAAAAAAAAATGCGTTAGCAACCGTGTCGATTGGCTACAGTAACGGCAAGGATCGCTGTTTATGCCGGTTCAAGTCCTGCCCGTGTTTATTTTTTTTTAAATGTATAATCGATTTTTAATTGATGTGCCATCGTGTGCAATAAAATATGAAAAATATTAGTTTAATTTTTTTTTTTCAGGCGCTCGCAAAACTTCAAAGCCAGCCCAGCTGTCCCAAGATGTCGATGAAATTCCTAAAATATGCACAATCGTCCCAATGCATGAACATGCAAGACTCCTCCGTATCATACGCTAGCGCTTCACTCGTTTTCGAGTAATGCGCGAACATACAAACACGGGTTGTAGACCGCTTAGTGGTATGGGTTTGGTTTATTTAGGGATTGCAAAAGATGTCCATATTTGAGAAAAACAAGAAATAAGTTTATTCACTATTTAGCGTTGTTAAATTTAATATTATAAGGCTGTCGAGGAAATTTTTCAAAGCTAGTTGCGTTTTGGGCTACTCGACTAATCTGTCTTTCCTATGTTGAGGGATGCTCGACATCTTTTGGTGATTTAAATAATACTTAACGGTTTAAAACGCGAAATTGATTATTTGAAAATGATTTTAACTTCGGCCAGACATTTCGGATGGTTTGCAGCAGTCGTGGGCACGGAAATACTAAAAAATCTGAAACGTCGGGCCCCAGTTGAAATAACCGTCGAATAAGCATAGCTAATATATTTCGCGTTTTAAACCGGTAAAGTGTTTTATTAAAATGTGCTAGTCGCGAATATCATTACTTAATTTTTTTCAGCTACTGAAAATTGTTCATTTTAGAAATTATTCAGCATTTGCAACATTATTTTTGTAATCCTTAAAGAACACCCTGTATATAGGTTAAGGTGTACAGATTAAATGTTAGCTTATGTTTTAAGATCTAAACTATTAATTGTATACAGTTTTATTTGTAAAACGCAACATGTGTTTTTGTTTCGTCACAAAATGTAAAGAGATTTTTAGTTATAATTTGGTCGTTTATTTGGTTCGCAAGTACGGATCATTTTTATTTATTGGTTATGAAAGTTATATAGAAAATCAAATAAAAAAAAACATATGAATTTAGTGTCTTAAACTGTGTCTGAAAATACAATACAATCCCCAAATTACCTCTATAATTATATTTTTAAAACAGACACAAAAAAATGTCTGCCCATCCCCCGTACACGTGATTCGGGCTTCTTTAGCATTCGGGCATTTAGGCATGACTTATGCCGTTTTACATAAAGCATTTGTTTTATTTTGTTACATATTTTAAATTAAGTTTAAACTAATTGTTTAAGTAACATCCTATTAAGTAAGTACGAATATATTTTGTCCCACTCATTAAGCTTAGAAGTGGCAAAGACAATGTATTAAGCATCTATCAACATACTGTTTGTGTTGAAATAATAGAACTGATTTTCTTTTATAAAATAGCAGAGAATTTTCGATTTTTGTAAGAAATAAATAACTTTTCCTTTAATTCGTGTGTTTAACTTGAAATTTAAGTTATTTCCAAAGTTCTACCATTCTACCTACCATACTACACAAGCGGCGACATCTTAAGAATTATAAATTGTATACATTGATTTTTGGACCCGGTGGGGTTTGAACCCACGACCCGTCAATTTTTAGCCATACACTACCATTAGACCAACAATCCTACGTACGTACAAGGGTTAATTATACGACCAATAATGCATAACATGTATGGTTAATAATCAACGAGTCGTGGGTTCAAATTCCGCCAGGTCCAAATCAATTCATTTCTAAAATCAATTTATTTGGATTAAAATGGGGGTATATGAAATCCGACCACCGTGAACATGACCATTCCCCACATTAAAAAGTCGTGAAGTGTCCCCGACTCGCCGTTTTTTTGTTTATTTGAAAATAATTTGACCAAAAATATATTTTGACCGTTTAAAACGGTTTAAAGTATTTTATTCAAACAACATATTGTTCACACAATTGTTTCGTCTTTAATCTGTAATTTCCGAATATATAAAGCCAAATTAGCCCGACGGTTCCATCATGTGACCCCTCACGCTTGTCTACCTTCATCTGTAATAACAAAAAACTTTGATTCTTCTATCTTTGGGTCTTATGTCAACAGTTGCTATCAAAACTGTCAGAAATTAAATTAAAAAACGGTTAAATTCTCTGTATATGGAAACCAGTGTACATTTCAATAAGCACAAATCTTGGTACAAAGTCGACATAGACGGCGAATATATAACAAGGTACAGCAAACTACCCTCAAAAATAAAAGCGATGAAGATGAAAAAACCGAAGAACATAGATGTCGGCGCCAAGCCGTTACACTTGGCGTACCCTCATAGGATTATAACGGAACTGTCTTATAATTTCTGTTACATTTTCGCGTTTTTCCTCATCCTGTATTGCAGTGTGGCGTTTTTTACGCCGCCCGAGCGCGTTGTCGACGTACCAGGCGATATTCCAATAGGAAACGATGAGTTTTTTGAAAATGTATCCATCAATTGGTCAAATATCTACAAGTGAATAAAGTTGGTTGGACAAAACAGTCTTTAGTGTGCAATTAACGTGTGTATGTGACGCTGCTTGAGGCAGAGTGGCCTAACACGATTTAAATAATGAGGAAAATAAATATGCCCACTTGACTTTAGGCGAAAATTTATCCTATTATTTGTGTATCAGTTATGTTAAAAATTTTCTATCATTGTCCTCTTATAGATTAATATTTTTAGACTAAGAAAATATAAATAACTCAAGACCTAAAATTGCAGTTAGGCTACTCTGCCTCTAGCGGCTTCATATAATACATTTAAAGAGTTTTCGATTTGGGAGTAAAAAAAAAACTTTTAAGTATTGCCTGTAGTTTACGTAAGTAGTAAACATATAAAGCAAACACTTTACGGTTTAAAACGCGTCAAATATTAGTACGTTAAATTTGTTGTTACAACTGCCCGATGTTTCGGATGTTTTGCAGCGGTCATTGCTACGGGGGGACTGAAGAACCACTGCAAAACAAACGTTAGGAGTTAACTTTTATTTATTTAACTTATTTTACATTATATTTTACAATAATTAAACCGGTAAAGTAACCGTCTATCGGTTTATGCGAACCGGCTTCGGTACCTTAGGACATATGTCTGTAGAAGTCCTTAAAATCCCCCTGCATCTATCCGGCATATCCAACAGCATGTTAAAAATGAATTAATTATAACTAAAATATATCGTGTTTTAAACTGTTAGAAATTGTTCGATGTTTAGTGGACTGTATAAAGTAAATTATTTAAACATGTAGCAGTATGCATAGTTTCGTCATTGCCACAATACAAAAAACAACACCACTAACCTTGCCTCACACGTTGCTTGCTCTAATTGTCACGGACACTATTATTTAGGGAAATTGCAATTCTGGTGAAGTATTATGTTTCGAGGGCACGCGGTTATCACGTGACATGGTTCTCAAACTACTGCCCCAGCGCACCTCGCCGCGGGTACCTCTCACGAACGCCAGTCGGCGTAGATAATAAGTCTGCCTGCGTTCAACATTCCAGAATGATCGAACAGAAGCATTTTATTTAAACTAATTAATGCTTTAGATAAAGTTTGCCTGTACTTGTTTTATAATGTCTAGATGCTTTTTAACGGATTAAAAAGCGAATTTTATGTGTTAAGTCATTTCTAATGACGACCTGACGTTTCGAAAAAGGTCCATTACCTTACCGGGTCGATTGCTGCGTGTTGAATGGCAATAATAGTGATATTACGTTTTCCTGGATTTTAATGTCTTCGTTATAAAGAATGATTATGTTATAAAGGGTTAACTGCACGTTAGTGCAATTGCTATATTAAGCTCTAGGTTTGAAACCAAGAACATTTTAGTAAGGTTGAAAGAAGGGGTTGATTCCCCCCTTAGTGTTTACTAATGAAAAGCGGACAAAAATCAAAGAGGACATAATAAAATATAAATTTTATTGATTACTTTAAATTTTCTATCGCAATAGTTGTAACAAAACAATAATAAATAAACGAATACATACAATGTAGCTACTTATATTGGTAATAGTGAAAAAAGAGTATGTCAAACAAATCGAAATACATTTACTATGGCGCCCCAAATCCCCCCCTTGCCCCCTCCGTGGCGTGACGTCTATTTACCTGTTGATCATTGTAACAGTTTGGCAAAAACTGTTTTTTTTTATTTAAACGATAAGTTGTGACGTCACATTTTGTCAATTTCCTGTATTTTGACGTCATAAGGTCCTAAAGAAAATAGTCCCTTTCAGACCACCAAAAACAGATAAAAATAAAAGTATAAAATAACCACCAATTATGTAAATAATTATGAAATATTTACCTTTGATGTTCATTTTGGCGTAGAATCTCATAACCAAAATGGGGTTTCTTGGTTTAATAAATCTCTATTTTGACATACTCTCAGTATCATATTCAGCCAATAAAGTATGTAACAACCAAATGTTCATTACCAAGCGTTAAAGTACAGCTTAAAGCAGGGGTGAGCAACCTTTCAACAAAACAAAGTTAAAATATTTTCTCGAAATATTACTTTTTTATTTTTGAATCGAATTTTAAACTACCACGCATTCTCATATCGGAGAGGAGACGAGAACGACAAATAGTTTTAGTGTATTCCCAAGAATCGAATTTCCAACCAACGCTGCATTGGAGCGATTATTTACCAACGTTAACATTATTCTTTAAACTGTATTTTAACACTCGTACACCCCGAATATTTTTATAACGCCCTTTGTTAATAATTATATAAATAGAGGTAAGGTTTTTGATATGACTGTTAAATATGAAAATTAGTGACAGACATAAGAAAAATATTTAGCAAAAAAAAAATGTAATTTTGGCACAATTGTTTGTGTCTAAAATAATTCTTTAACCTCTATTTATGTTATTGTTAGTACATATATATGAACTTCTGTTTAAACCAATTTTCAGAAGAAGAGATATTTATTTTAAGATAATTATATTTGTAAAAGGCTTTCGCGGCCAACGACGCTACTGATAACTCCTTGGCCACTTTGTCCTCCCTCTACAACCTTCACAAACTGGTCGTTGTTGGAAAGATCGAGGGTAAAAGACCGTAGGGTCGATCACCTACTAGATAGACTGACCAAGTAGTAAAGTTGACAGGTCTTAGTATATCGACCGACTAGCCGAAAAACATGGAAGCACCTGGTCGATAATACTAGTACTAAGTATTACCTTATGACAACACAACCATCAGTAATGAAGAAGGCGAATAAGATGATTTCTTGAAGGAAGGGGGGGGGAGAACCCAGTGGAAGACAACAGATGTTTAGCGATGCTAGACAACGCTTGACACGTACGTCCAAAGATCTAGCGAGCCTAATGTTAGCTATCTTGACTCTTCTTGAGCAATCGAAGATATTTCCAGCTTGAAAGAACAGTGAGCGCAACTTTTTCTTTAATAATTTAAAGTGTCACTTTTTAATTCTGTTACTCTATCAATCATCTAGTTAGTAATTTAAATTCAAAATAATTCCCCCTCCCCGGGGGGAGTCCGGAATATCTCTTGAATAAGTCTGTCCCTTGACCGTAAAGGAACAGTGTTATTTAAACAATAAATATGTAATCACAGACATTAATTTTTTTTGTTATATTTTGAAATAAAAAATAAAGAAAAAAGTTTTAACTGTGGACCCTACTAAATAGTAATTCTTTTTTTTTTGTGAATAAATATGATACCAGCTATATGCATCTTGAGTATATAATATGAAAAGAAATCAAGAAAAAGCAAAGAAAAATAAGAATAAATAAATAAAGAAGAAGAATTAGTACTTTAATGTACCGAAGAGAGGAAGTTTTCTAGCAATTCATTAGAAAAAATAAATTATTTTTAACTACTAACTGTAATCGGTTAAAATATATTTGAGCGTATAACGAAATGTTAGTTAAAAATACATGGAATAATTATTCCTACAAAAAGAATCATTAAAACAGTTTTTTTTTTTGTTTTCTGTCATAAACTTAACCCAAATCGGTAATTTTTCAATATTTATAAATTATGCGAATATTATCGTCAATTGGAAATATCTACTTAATTTTACATAAATATTTTTTTGTGTATACTTGAATTTTCCTAATGTTTTTGTTTGCTTGTCTTGCTGTTACGTCGAACTGCCCCGGCTCGTTGAGGGCGATTCTGAAAATATAGAAACAGAATTACCTACAATTTTTATATAAAAATATATTTTAAATTGCGAAACACAAAAATGACTACAGCAGAACGATATTTGCTGTAGTCAGCTTGTAAGAGAATATATAAGAAAAGCGTATAACAATAATTACCTAAAGACGCCGCCGTAAATATGCCATCCTGAAAGAATAAAACAATGGTTACTAACTGACCGATTGCTGTGCAGTATAGACATATTTCCGTGTCCGTTACACAGATTAATATAGACAAGGAGGAAATCATGGATTCGATCCCCACCAGGTCCAATAATTCTTATAAATCTATATCTTTTTCTGAAGTACGTTTGACTTGATCTGGAAGTCTGGGTTATTAAATGGGTTACATGATTATCGAAATTCAAGCCTAGAAAATTAAAGCCTATTGATGTAGTCACAATTGGCATCCCAGAAGTGGGAACCCTTAAACGGTCGATGGATAAACTCACCGGCGTGGCTACGCGCGTGCGCTGCACCGTCATGGTCTGCTGCGGCACGCAGCAGTCCGGCTGGACGCGCATGGACGCGTACACCTCTCGCAAGATGAGGAGAATCGTATCGGCCGATTCCCTGTTCATTATAAATGTATCATCAGGTCCGTATTATTACTTCTAGTCGAATAAACTGATTCTTCTTCTCTCTTCTCCTCTAACTCTCTCATTTAACGACATAATAATTACCATGTTGTTACAGCGGTTTACCACGTCTCTCTATATTACGTCCTAACATGTATTCTGTTAAATAAAACACTTTAACGGTTTAAAACGCGATCAAACGTTTCGGCTGCTTTGCAGCAGCCGTGATCACGGGGAAACGTCGGGCCGAAGTTAAAAATCATTTCCCAATAAGTTTAACTAATATATCGCGTTTTAAACCGTTAAAGTGTTTTATTTAAATGTGTACTACTCGGGTAAACTATAGACAGTATTTATCCTGTTGTTACGGAGAGTTTACACAGTACTTTTATGAAGCAGAAAAATTGTTTACCCATAATTAAATATAAGTGTGCGTGTGTGTGTGTGTTATCTTACCAATAACAAACGTGGCTCGTCATAGCGAAGAGGTATTCATTAATCATTTCAAAGGGCGCCTCCTGTAATACATAGTCTATGCGCTGCCCGCCGTTTAGCTTTCCCAGCATGTCCGGTGTTGCCTGTATTAAAAATAATAAAATTTTAATAGACACTTCAAACGTGTTTCGTGTTCAAAGAGTAAGTAACTTTTTTATCAAACATTTCGCGTTTTAAACCGTTAAAATTGTTATTTTTACACACACACACACATTGTTATTTTATACATACAGGCAATACTTAAAAATAATATTGCCATATTTTGCTTAAGATCTATTAAACATTCTGTATTATAAATTCGCAAGTGTGTAATGACAGTTCAAAGCGGCTTAACTGATTTTGATAAAATGTTAACAGGTTGCTTCGTTTCAAAAATGTATGTAAATTAACGAAACAATTATACATTACCTCTTTATCCTGCGCAGTGTCTTGTTTGCATTCATCGTTTAAATCTGCTTTCTCCATCTCTTCTTCGACTACCTGAAGAAGAGAAATACTGCCATACATCATAGTATTGTATGCATTAGATAAATATAACATATGACACCACATGTTTATCCTAGCTACATTAAAAACCGTTTAAACGGTAAAATTCTGAAGTCCTGGATTCGAATCTAAGTAAAACGTTGCCATGCTACAATTAGTTTGTGCAGAGAACAAAAAGTTACATGCCATAAAAATACTTAATCTAAATAAAACGTAGCTAACGGTTTAAAACGCAAATGTTAACTTATTTGTAACTACGAACCAACGTTCCTGACCTAGCGAATATATTACACGTTTTAAACGCAACTACAGATAATACTAGTCTCTCTAAAATCGTCCAATAAAACGGACATAAAAAAGTGTCTGTTTTTGTCTGTCAGACGGAATAAGTCTTTTCCTAATCTCTTTCTCCTGTACTTCAGGTTGTCTGAAAGATAAAGCTGCTTAGCGATAGGGCCGCCTTTTATTTATGAGTTAGAACGATAGAATTTTTCTCTTGTAGTTTTTGTTTTGTGGTATATATGCTATAGCTGTGTCAGCGACTTTGTCAGCGGGAACCGTTATTTTGGGCATCCAAATTCATTTTTGCAAACCCCTTCATGTTTACAAACTTTAACTGTTACCCACGACGTCGGTTGCGTCTCTTTCCGTCGTTTTTTCTAGTAAATCTCTTAAGTTCTTTAATACATATTTTTAGGGTATTTTGACGCTTCAGAAATCCATAATGATGAACAATTTTCCCATTTTTTTACATTTCTCGCTGTATCTTTGCTTGTATTAGTCACAGGGCGAGTTTTATAGCCTATAGCTTCCCAATTTTATAAAGCTATAGTAAATAATACCTTCTCAAGTTGATCGCTAGGTGGCGGTGCTGTCTTCCACATACTGGACCAAGTGCTTTTGATCGATTCTATCAATTTCTGTTTTATATCCGCACCAACACGCGCCATTGTATCTTTTAATTCTAAGAAGACATACATACAAACATTAGGAATGTTTCAAATCGAGAAAAATCTTTGAAAGACAATAAATTACAAGGCAATACGTTAAAAAATCTATTTCAATAAAAGAAAATCAATACGAGCTGGAATCAATAGCGTTCCGTATAGCTCTTACCAATAGAATCGTGTCAATCCATCGATACATTGCCTTTTGCAATAATTTCAACCTTAACCAGAGTTAAGGTTTTGTGTGATTTTTTTACATAATGTGAAAAAAATTAACTTTTCTTTAACTAATTTTAAAAGGGTAGTTGATGAACGAGAGAGAGCCATATTATCAGGACTTTACGACAGAGGAGAATAGACAATCACAAAGTTCACATGATGGAAGGGGAAACACCCCAGTTATATAACATCTCAACAAGATATTATGGCTTTGGAAATCCACAGACTGGAACCTGACAGTTCCAGACGATGTCTTCTTGTTTTTAGGGCCGGTAGAAAGGACCCACGATCCGTTCTTCGCCATATGAAATATAGCTACCGTTGGAATATATATATATAAGCTGTTAGATGAAAATCATGGATATTTCTCACCTAAATGCATACGTTTTCTTCCCTTATGATGAGGGATGAGATATGGCTTTATATCCCTCAGCTCTGGGTTTATCATGGGTTCTAATCTGAAAAAAAAATTACAGTTATCACAAAGATTCGGACTTTATGTTCTTGTAATGACAGGGGCAAACAGCGCGGCGATCTCTTGATGGGGAGAGAAAAAACCCCAAAGCAATGACCTGTAAACCTATATTAGCGTTGGAAATTCGGAAATAAACACATTGAAGCCGAAACGCGATTAGATTTAAATTAAATTATATATATGCAACATTTCATATCCACATTTTCTAGACGAAATATCACACGTTTTAGAAATTTTGATAAATTATAATCTGACTAGTTTGACCCGATTTTTTTTATTTAAAGAGAAAAAAATGTAACGTGTTATTCTAGTGGAAATATTTTTTTAAAGCAAAAAGTTATTTACCTATATGCAATGGGATCGTACGGGTGAAAGATATTGAAGAACTTCTTGCATGTGGGTAGACAGAAGTCGCGACCGAGCATCTCCACGCCGCGCACGCACTCAAATATAGCTGAAAATGTAAGGGAAATTATCATCTGGTGCTGAATCTGGTATCCTAAGCTGGTTGGGAATCCCATGAGGATATTGTTTTATTAGCTGCTTATCAACAGCTATCGTTAGATGTTTAGTTGTAACAATAAGTTGAAAAAAATCGACGATGAGGTGTATGACTCGGTAGCTCAATTGGGAGAGCAACAGCACGGAACGCTGACGGTGCCGGTTCAAATCCAATCCGTGTCGTAATTTTATCAATCTAAGGTGGATTTTTAAATTATAAAAAGTTTGATAAAACTTACCAATAGGGCTGCCAAGCGCAAACAAAGCTTCGGGGCTGAACTCCAGCTTCGGATATTTGAACATGGGCTGCCCCGTGCCGGCACACTCTTGGACGTATGTCTTTTCCGTCGAGCATTTTGTTTCCGATGACTATAAAAGACATAACAATTATGGAAATCAAATTTTAGAGGTTTAACAATCTATAAACGAGGTTTTTGAACTTCCAAAAATTTCTCTTGATTATAAGAATCAAGACAGACACCATAATTCCAATCAAATTGATATACGCAGTCCACATTGTTACTTTGTCTATTTGTAAATTCAGTCCAATCTCCACAGTACAAAATAAATGCAATTGAAATAAAACAAATTCAATGGTTTAAAACGCGGAATATATAAGTTCACAAACGTGTTATTTATTATTAATTAATACATTACGCCTTCATTCGAACATTTGCTGTAGGTTACACGTTTATATAAAACACATTTAATGGTTAATTTGTATAGCCCGCGTTTTAAACGGTTAAATTGGTGTATTTAAATGTGTACTACTCGCGTAAACTACAGACAGTATTTTACATACCTCAGATATCTGATGCCCCAAAAGGTCATATAAAATAACACTGCCTAGGGAATGACCGCCCAACGACACGCCTCCTTTGAAATCTGGGTTCCGCTGCTTGAAAAGGCAGTAGATTCGATTCAGTTCTCTGCAGACCGTGTCTATTATTGTCTGGGTGAAACGGAAAAAATATAACTGAGTTGTGTGAAATAGTAATAATTTTGTATTTTTTCTAACTTGGCATTTTTGGTAAAGAAACACAATTCACATGAAATCGTGATTTCCTAACAAGTTTGCATTACTACATAATTAATTTACACTAAATCTTTGAGACATGAATTATATATTAAACCAAGGAACTACCTTTACTTAGTAAAAATCACAATTTCTTCCTAAAATTAATAAAAACCCCAATAATGTTATTAACGTAACTAGAAGAATTAACGTTCTTTGTTTGACGTTTTCATAGAAACGGGATGTAAGCAAAGTCAACGACAATAGAAGGTAAAAGTTCCAATCATGCATTGCTGAAAAGCGTTACAAACGTGGAGTTAAATAATAATATGTAACATAAAAAATCTAAAAAAAGGCGTCATAAAATAGATTTTGAATATTAAGGTCGTTTGGTCCAAAGGCAATGGAAGTTTCTTGATACCTGTGTCATCTGTGGCAAAAATTTCACTCTATGGTTTAAAATCGGCCATATTTGTTGTATTCTTTTGCCATGTTAGAAAAAATAGACTATGGAAGGTCTTACCTGTCCAAAAACAGGGCTCGTGTAGAACAGCACATCCAAGACTGTGTCGTTCGTAAAGTTTCTCAGCCAGGGTATGCTTTCCAGGGTAACGTTGGACAAACGCTTGTCCACCCCGGTCTCCCCTGAATGGAGGCTCGAGTGCCAGGATATAGGCAACACCTGAAAACCATACTAATATGATAAAGCTGTAGAGTGTGTTTGTTTTAACGCGCTTGTCTCGGGAACTACTGGTTATATGTAATATAACCAGTATTTCCCGAGACAAGCGCGTATATTATATATAATCTAATAGTAGCCATTTGTAGCCAACTAACTTTTAGTATAATATATACAACTCTATGGAAGCTACAAGTAAAAATAAATCGGTGGCAACTGCATTTTGCTTTTATTTGATCACAACAAAAAGTGCATCTTCTTAAGATTTAAATAAAACACTTTAACGGTTTAAAACACGATATATTTTTGTTAAACTTGTTTTTGACAAAAATTTAGAATTATTTTTAACTACTAACCAAAATATATCGCGTTTCAAACCGTTAAAAGTGTTTTATTTAAATGTGTACTACTCGCGTAAACTACAGACAGTATCTTCTTTAGATGTCATATGGCTCGGCTACTCCACCTTCCGTCAAGAGACCTTGAAAGTCTGCCCTTCGGTGTCATAAGAATTTAGTGACAAATTTGATGAGTACCTCTATACGCCCAATCAGACCGCTGTCGTAGGAATTTTTGTAGTGCGATTGTAACAACTGCATACTCGTCTTTCTGAAGTCATCGACTGAAACGAAATAGAATCCTTTATGTTAACTACTAAACATATTGGTTGCTTTATTAAAACATTTCTAACGGATTAAAACGCGAAATGTATAAGTTTACTGATTTTTCACTAATCTTGACAACAGCCCGACGTTTCTTTATTACTAAAGAAACGTCAGGTTTAATACTAAAAAAAATTGTACGGCCTAAAGTTGAAGATTCTTTGCGGCAGCTATGGTAACGCGGCAAAGGGAAGGGAAAGATAATTAATATATTTCGCGTTTCAAACCGTTAAAAGTACTTTCAAAAGTGTACTCGCGTAAACTACAGACGATAATAGATTTTTGCTTAGCATAATAGCATGACTTACCGACAGCTTCTACGGGACGCATGCGCATATCGCACGCTGAGCCCACTCCGTGGCACAGCAGTAGCAGATGGTCAATGCTGGACGGCTCGGTGTCTTCGATTTCAGACTCCACCCCTCCACGTTTGACCACGCGTGGGCGCGACATGGATTGCTGTAAATCAGGATTTGAAAAATGTAATATTTTTCACATGTTATAGCACATAAGTGCACTATATATATAATATAAAAATTACGAGACGGGCACAATTTGGCTTGGAAACAATTGAGCTGCGCGAATAAGCGAAGGTTAAGGTTGAAATTACATTGCGCGAGAGTTTGAAAAAAGATAAAATATTGCCAAGAGAGTATTGCCTTTACGAGACGTTCTGCGGTACGAATCCCTTAGAATCGATACATCATTTCAATGGCTGGGGACAGACGTATGATCAACATAACTGTATTTAAAATAAAACATTTTTAACGGTTTAAAACTGGAAATATATTACCGTTAACTGGGCGTTAATAAGCTGCAGGGCACCGAAACCGAAACATCCGAGCCATAGTTAAAATAAATTACAAATAAGTGACGAATATATTTCGCGTTTAAAACCGTTAAAGTGTTTTATTTAAATGTGTACTACTCGTGTAAACTACAGACGGCTTGTTGATGAAATCAATTGCTTAATTAGGTCCCAAAGCAAACGGGATTACACATTGTATGACAATGCGCACTTTTGGTGACGTAATTATGTTATTTGTATTTCTTCTTTTATTTATATACGTATTAAATGCACGGATTATCAATGACCTGGTGGGAAGTAGGAATCAAGGATAAGGACTAACTATCTTCTCCATCTGGTGCCTGTGCTCACCAGCTCCATGGACCAAGAACAACAGGTGATCGATTCTCTCCGTTTGGTCTGAGCTCACACCGATCTTAGGTGGATTACGGTATACCGTTTTTCCAAAAGCGAATAGCTGAAAGTGGGAAGTTGTAGGACTTAGGATTAAGGGGGGATTGGTTTTTTTGAATGATAGAGGACAGACAAGGGATTCACTTTATGGGAGGGGAAAATACCCCAGCGATATGATGTCTAAACTAGATGCCCTGTCGACCTATGACGGCTTTGGATATTAGCAATACCATAATCTGAAACCGAAACGCGATTAAAGTTCACGGCTTTTTTCACCGGTGGACGGTGTTTAGGGCTGGACGGAATTTCGATACTTGTTCGTAGTTTTTCGAAATAGCATCTATCTCTTATAAGAGACAGACTAGCATGGTCTAGAATCTAGATAGTAGGTGAAATACCATAGCCTTAAAAAGTAATTAAGATGAACCACAAGAAAAACCATAGACTGAAATCAAAACTCTGATTTACAATACACGACTTTATAATCTATGAAGGACTAAATATTCAGATTATATATATACCTAAATTTTTAAAACATGTTTTTAACCCACGGATTCCCTACCCAGCCCCCACTGCATTGATCAACCGCCAAAATATCTTTAAAATACTTGAAATACTAACAGGACTTCCGCTGAAGCTGTCCACCGAGTTCTGCAAGAAATGCACCATCACGGCTGGTCCGTGCATCACCACCAGCTCTCCGTTGGGGAGGAAGAGCCTCCTGTGCCATTCGCCTGTCGTTATGCCGTGCTGGTATTCCTCCTAGAAAAAGGTTTGTAAAGGCATTAGAAGCCGTACATACGTTGATACATTGATTTAGTGTTTACTGCGTTTAAATGCAGACGACGTAGACCATGGTTCGATCCTGGATAAGGTAGAATGTTTCTTAGATATATTATATATTTTTAAATTAAATAGTTTTCACATGATACACACATGTTGCACATTATATAAATTAATAATCAATTTTATCATCCACAGCGTTCCGTGCTGTTGCTCTAAGCAATGCGGAATCGTTTAATTCTGTAATTTCATCTCCAATGATTTTGGTGGTTAGGATCGGTGTTAAGATAATTTTTTCAATTTAAAACCGATTTTTAATTTATTTTGAATATTTCTAAAAAAATTAGTACTGCGGCGGGAGTTTCTAAGTAGATAGTGTTATTAACCACCTACCTTGGAACCCATTAACCAAACAAATGTATTGGCGGTCACTATGGCCTACCAAACCACACTGAAACAGCGTTGTGGGTCTAAGCTCTTACAAATCTGGTATGCAAAAGGCCTATTCTCAGAAGTGGGATAGCATTTAAAAATATCATCAGTATTTTTTTAATGATTACCTCCAATTTCTCGGCAACAGGTTCTGTATACGGGACGTATCTGCCGTCTGTGTTACAGTAGAACCAACTGCATCTGAAATTCAGTTATATAAGAATGTATTTTATTTATTAACGGACTCGTTGTTGTAATGATAGTAATAACCAATGGGTCATGGGTACTATCCCTATCAGGTCCAACACGTTCCGAATCAATGTATATATTTTTTAACATATTGGACTTCGTCTGGAAACGTTGCAGTTTCAGTCTACGAATTTCCGAAAATCTAACGCCAATTATGGTCGACAGTGCATCTTGTTTAGATGTTATTTAGCAGTCCATGCATGCATGAATGTCTGTCCTATTTTCTAAAACACTCAGACCCATGATCTCTTGTGTTGACGGGGGTGGTGTCCACAAAAATACCTTTCAAATATTTTTGTCATACAAAAGTCAATGTCTCGAACTTGCTAACATTTTTTTTATTTAGACTCCTCATTTCTTTTATCACTCTAACATACCTTCTAACATTAGTCGGCTTTTCGGACCAATAGACCGGCACACGGAGCCTCCCCTCCACGTTGACGTCGTACCTACCGCCATCTGTTGGCACTAAAGTGTGCTCGTCGAGTTCAGCTGCAATATTTCGAATAACCAATAGATCTTGCATTTTTTTAGTCTATTATAATAAAAAAAAAAATTTTTTTTTTTTAAGGGAAAAAAAAAAATCCCCCCCCCCCAAAAAAAAAAGGAAAAAAAAAAAAAAATTGGGGGGTTTTTTTTTTAAAAAAATTTTTAAAAAAAAAAAAAAAACCCAACCCCTTAAACCCCTTTTTAAATAAAAAAATTTTTCCTTTTTAAAAAAAACGGGGGGCCCCCGGGGGCCGGGGGGGAAACCCTTTTTTTTAAAACAATTCGGCTTTATACTACTTCACTCATAAGTATCGAATAACATTAAAAGGTAACAAATAAACTTTTGAAGTCAAAAATCGTATGGTTTAACAAAATGTAAATCAATTTAGGATTTATAAAATCTTTGACACGAGCGAGACTCGAACTCGCGAAATGTGTTACCTGTGAGTTGCTTTTACCAACTACCCTCTATCCGCTGGTGTTTTTCGTATTTATTATGATCAGTATTTTTGTATATAGATTGATTCTCTCTAGAGGCGCACACTCACGGCTATTAAACGCGTTCTCCAGAGCCCGACTGTCAGCGACAGAGAAGCCCCGCCACGTCGACTGGCCGTCTTTTTCCACTCGATAGAACCAGTGGTACTTCACTGGCGCGTATTCCGTTGTGTTGCGGTTCTAAAATTATTAAGTTTCCAGCGTGAGGTGACTTCGTGGTATACGAATGTCCAAAGCTAAAATGGGTCGATAGCGCATTTTGTTTAAGTTATATGGCTATTACCTTTCATATTGTGAACCCAATTATTTTTCATTAAACATTTTAATAGGTAGGTATAATTATAATGTATAAACGAAATATTTGAAATTAACTAATTCACAATATATTTAATTAATAAATTTATATTTAACAAAAAAAAAATACAATTTTAAGTAAACATTTAAACGTATAAACACATTGTGTTAGTCAGAGGTCAACTAACAAATTGTTTCGGTCGGGCTGGGCACAGAAGTCTTCTATAAAACGGCCGACGTAATTTGGCAGCTCTGAACAGAGGTTAGACTAACTTTGGCGCATGTACACTCGTAAAGAAAACTAATACTGCCATTCATTTTCGTTATTGGGGTAAATTAAAAATGTTACCTATAGCAAGCCAAAGTAACATACCAATAATTGATTCAAAGAGAATAAGGGCTACGAACACTTATGTTTCACTAAAAAACAGAGACAAAACAAAAATATAACAAAAGAGAAATAATAATATTAAATTTAATAATAAACAATCACTTTTCTAGCGGACTGCACTCAAGACAGAGATAACGAAATTAACACCAAGGAGTGACCGAGACGCACTGCAGTTTACCGAACATTACCGAATATGTACGAAGCTTTACGAAAGAACCAAATAGAGATGTCCATACGCGATCCTTGAGAGTGTCGTTTAATCGATTCCTATTGAAATAGATAAAATTGGATCGTAAAAATATAATTTTATAAAAAGCCCTAAAGAAGGTATAAATAGTAATTATATAAAAAAATAACTCATATTTAACTAGATCAGGTAGTTCAATAATGTTATTGTTTATTAACACCATTCACTGTGTTCATCAATCCATTTAGAACAATATCTCATACGATTTAAAATCCACAATCTAAATCGATAAAAATCTATTACAAAATTTGATAGAATAAGCGGTTGATTGATTTGACATTGAGTCAATCACTAGCTTAGATCTTCGTCTAGCGCCCCTCGCTATTACCACCGTTAACATCTTAAAGAACGTTTCTGCGCAGCGTTTCGCGCTTAGATCAGGCCTGCCAAGTTACATCGGCCGTATTGTACACTCCTCCAGCCACTGTTTATACGGCCTAGCGGAGACGTCGGTAAAGTACTACAAAAATGTATCTGCCCCATTCCCCATAGAGGAAAATAAGATTTTACTTTACTGTTAGTTGCATAGGAATAACCACGACTATACCAATACCACAACGGTGTTCCTAGTTCCTACCATAAATTATTACCTCAGTAAGAATAGCAACACCATCGTCCTCCTCCCGCAGCGAGTTCTCCATAAAATTTACCGTCACATTCTGTCGCCTCCCCTCACTATTTTCAGCGTTCATCTCGCCCTTTTTCTCCTCCCCACTATCCATGTACCGTTTAATCTTCAAATTACTATAGTCCAATTCCACTCTTTTCACACAACCTTTACTAACGTCACAGCAATTTTTACACTTCCTAACTTTGTCTACCGGCATACTGTCTATTCTATCGACGTCTTTGTCTGAAATTTTAACAGACGCTATCGGTTCACCTACACTAGCTTTATCGTACTCGACTGTAAAATAATTGACCGTCCTAACTATATCTTTCGGTGCTATATCTTTATATGTGGCTAGATCGCGGATTAATTTCATATTATTATTATATCTTTCGGATTTGTGCGTTTCTGTTTCACTCGTGTCAACGTGCCTATAGTGGTCTTGGGACTGGCTCAACTCAAAAAAAGACTTCGCGTTTTCTGTCTGCGGAGCGGTGAAATAACTCGACAGTCTACTGAAGTTGTACTCTTCTTTATCCGGTTCTGTGGCGAAGAAGTTTTTCGGATCCGGCAATTGTTCTTTGCTCTCTGTCAGACTTGAGAAAGCGGGTAAGCGGTCTGCATCTGGCATAATGGCTTCTATAGGTTTCGTTAGAATTGTTTCTATTGCGCTAGGTTTCACATCGCTGGTGACTGGGCTTTCAGTGAGTGTTGTTGGCGATTGTGAGTATGTTAGTATTGGTGAAAGACGCGTTTGTGTCTGTGTATCGGGAACGTATGTTATGTGTTCTTCTGGAGAGAACCTCGTCGATGTAACACAGGGAAAACGTTTGCTAAACTCCTTTTCGAAACCAGGCGGGATACGTGTAGCTACGTCGGTCCCCGCGAACGAAGGGGGTGACGTCAGAGAATTTCTATAGTGATTCTCTACAGCGTAATTCCCCGTGTCGAAATATGAGGCCATAGGCAACGATGGACTTGTTGATACGGTTTCAGTTTTCTCGATGTCATCGTCCACTGTTTCCATTTTCTTATATCTTTCCACTCTATTCGTGAACGTGTCCACTTCATGTTCTTCAGACGTCTTCTCGCGTTCCATGAATTCAATTTTATCGTCATCAGTCTCGGATGGTTCGATGACGAATTCGTCGTAATAGGGAAAGTCCTTTGTAGCGTCCTGCTCTATGGAATGCACGTCTAAGCCGCTTTCGTCTGATTTATTATCTTCTTCAGGTGGTGCGGTCGGTAATGATAGCGGCGGCATTAGTTCTTCATGTGAATTTTTAAACTCTGCTTTTATCTCGTCGCTGGCGTTTGTCATGTTATCGAATAGCGATTTAGTCTGGAAAAATCCTATAGAACTACCATCTGGTAGGTTGTAATTTTGCTCACTCAACGGGGAATTTAGGATATCGTTTATATCAGCTGTCCAACCATAGTTAGTCATTGTATTTTCTATACTATCTCCAAGCAGTTCAGTGACGGAATGTATAGGTATGTTTTCAATTAAGTCTTCGGTTATATGCGTAATATCTTCCAGTTGCTCTGTTGATTGGCTTGAAATGTCTGGTACGCGTTCATCTGCAGCTACGGTTCCTACAGGATTCAATAGTTGTATTGGTGCTGTAATGTTTTCTATAAGCTGTGTAGTCAAGTCTTCGATTTCACCTTTGTCTTCGTGTTTGTTTACTTCTCTACACGTAACGCATATGTTCAATTCAGAAACGTTCTCAGTTAAATCTTCATTAGGTCTTGAAGTGACTGGTTCGTGCAGTGCCAAATCTTCTACTTTTTTTTCAACAGAGTCTATCTCACTCGAAACTGGAGGTAAACTTGGAAAATCAAATAGATGCGTAGACGTTACAGGTTGTTCGAAATACTTAAATAAATTATCTTTGTTAGTAACAGAAAATGTGTCGAGATTTGATACTCCCTCGGGGATCGGTTTCTCTATAAAACGTTCTTCATACATGTCTGGATCGATATCATCTTTGACAATAAACGTAGTTTCGGAAACAACGCTTTGATCAGATGGCAACAGCGGATGGGAATCGAATAACTTGAAGGTGTTTTCAATTGGTGTATTAAAGCTCTGGCCGATAGTATCGGTGGGTACTCTGTGAATTTCATTAGCATCAGGTTGAGGACTAGGTTCTAACACTAAATTAGTAACGCTCTCAACTATTTTATCATCAAGAATATCTGGTTTTGGGAGTTGAGTACTAAAGAAGCTAAGTGGATTATTTACTTTTGGCACTGGTACCAAATTATCATTGTTTATTCTTGAAGCTTCTTTTGTAGTCAATTCTCCTGCAAAAACTAAATTCTTTGAAGTCTCCGTTGGTGCATTGGTTGGTGCTGGCATTGTTTGAGAAACTTGAGCTGTCTGTAAATCGGGTGTGGTATATATAGGAATACTATTAAAACCACTTCCATTGTCTGTACTTACAGAACTATGTGTCGTTAAATCTTGGTAGCCCGGAGCTTGGGCAGGCCATGCGTAACTGGTATATTGTTGTTCTATATTACCATAGTATCCTTGGCCGCTATTCTGAGGCGTGTTAAATTCTGATGGATAACCGCTATGAGGCTGGGGTACATTAGAGCTACCAACAAAGATATCAAACGTAGAGTGATTACCGTGTCCATAAGACTTAGAATCATTCTGTTTCTCTTTAGCTTCATTATATGTCGGGTCAAAGAAGGTGGTCACCGAATTTTGTATTTTATTAATATCTATAGCACTGAGTTTAGATTTCAAGGATCCCAATAACCCGAAACCTCTTGCTTCCGTTTGTATATGGTCGTAATGGTCAGTCGTTCGTCTACTTAGATCAAAGGCAGTGCTAAATTCCGTTTGAGGTGGAGCTATTGGGTACCCGCACGCTTTTTCATCGGGGGCAGTGTACACTGATTGTGTGACATCAAACGATGGAGCTGAGGTATCAAATATAGGTGCTGCGGTTTCGAATGTCGATAAGTCTGGCAATGCTGAAGAATTTTCAATTTGGCTAGGTGTAAACAAAGCACCTTGAAATACTTCATGTTGCACCGGGTTAATAATTGGTTTAACATTATTGCTTATACTTCCAACTCCTTCTATAGGCCCAGAATAGTACTGTGGTCTCTTTTTGTTCATTCTATAATTTAAATTGCCCGTTAGTTTTGGTGGTTCCAGCACTGTCTTGGGTGGTTCTGATGTGGCTTGTACGGCAGGTGGTTTCGTAATTTCACTTTTAGTAGTTGGATTGAAGAATAACGGTGGTTGGCTATATGATTGCAATGGTTCTTGTGGAGGCAGAGTACTTATAGTTGGTAATGTTGTATCGAATGAAGGGAATGTTACAGGGGCGGGAATGTTTGCTAGAGACTCTGAGTAATACGTGTTTTCTTTAACATCTGGGATGATGTCTTTTGGCATTAAAAAATCACTACTTGAAGGCAAAGGTTCTGTATTGTTTGATTCCAATCCAGCAGTGGTGATGGTCGGTGTTATATCAAACGGCACATTCTGTCGGGATACACTATCGGGTGACTTGAACATCGGAACATGGTCTAGTTTTGTAATATTGGATGCTTCGTTACTCTTTGGAAATAAGAAATCTGTAACTGGTGGTTCAGACGCCTCTGTTGTACTTGAAGAAGTGGATACGGTTGCTCTTATTGTGGATACATCAAATGGAACATTATGGGTCGATATACTTTGAGCTGATGTATCAAATACTGTCTGGTTTGATTTCGGAGTATCCAAGGTCTGTGGTACAGTCGCATTAACGTCATATGGTGACGTTTCAAAAAATGTCGGCACGAATATATTCCCGTGTATGGTTGGCGGAGGAGCTGAAGGCTTCAACAGCGGTTGGTTGGCCGCTAGCCGCCTAGCAACTGACGGTGGTAGCACTGATCTACCCACGGAGCCTTGACTGTCTCGCCTGTTTGAAAACATAGGGGGTGGCGGAATAATGGGTGCTGGAACCGGTGCTAGATTTGTTTCGACACGAGCATCAACTACATTGTTTGACGCTATAGTTTCCTTAACTGCATTGTTTCCTATTGGTGCTTCAGGAGCGAAGACATACGAAGATAGATTTTCCAGAGATTTAGGAATTGGTTGGATATCTTGGTTTTGACAATCTTGGCTCGCTTCAGCTACGTGTATATGAGTTGTTTGGTCTGGTGTGAAGTAATTTGGTGTTGTATAACGTGGCAGGTATGGCAAATTGGTCTTTGTGTGTGTTAGTAATAGGTTCGCTTTTCGCTATACTGGGTTGGTTGAAGTATGGAGCATTTTGACTGGCGGGTTGGTAATCGCCTGTTAGTCCGGGAATCTGAGCGTAGACTTTCTTCTTCGTGGTGATGCGGTAATTTGATCCTCCTAAAAGAATCGAAATAATAACATTAAAACATAGATATTTTTACCTAAACTTAATTGATATTCATGTTTTTACAAAGCGTGATCACCATTCACCATGCAGTTTCACACACACAACCACAAGAGTATAATTAAGTGTGTATGGTATTGATTTAGTTTATTATAAATATATAATAAGATCGAGGATGACAAATTTTTCTTTTCCTTTATTTTACCCGGGCAGTCTGAAAATATCTATCGATTATTTATGTATCATTGTACTAGTGCCTTAGACTTCTGCCGCGTAGAATTGTTATTTTAAGCAACAAAATTTATTTTTTCAAACCCCATCTTTATCCACTACGTCGCGTCGTTCTTGCAAGTTTATCTTAAAATAAAGACATATTGTCGCGAACATTTATTTGCCGCGTTCAAACAAAGAAATATTTCCGCTTTATAATATTAGTATAGATTTATTTTATTACGGTTTCTCTGATTTAATAGTTATAAGTATATTGTGAAAACGTCGAAATTCCGTACGGTTCTCAAACTAAACCCCCCCCCCCCACGACTTGGATATAGCTATTTACCTCATCTCGAGTAGAAAACCTTACTTTAGCATAAAAAAAATATTGCACAGCTATAAAATATACGAATAGATCCCTCGCTAAGTAGTTATTTATAATAATCGTTATAACTATTATGAAAATGATAAATGCTATGTTTGAGTTAGCAATACAGAGGCAGGAAATTACATATTTGAGTGATGTGCTTTACAATGTAACGCTCATAAATTAAAGGATGTTAAAGGAAAATTTGATGAACGTTACAATCGAACCGCCATAAACACTAGTGACACTTTAAAACGCGAATTTATCACCTGAAACATTTATATATTTCAAGTTTTAAACCGTCTCTTTTAATATGGCAATTATTGCAGCATCCCATGAGAATATTGTGAATAAGAAAATCTGAGTAATTATTTTATTTTTGCTTAAGAACGATATTTCGATTTTTTTTTATGACTTCACTTAGAAGGAAAAAATCCCAGTAATACAGATGCGATGGTTGTCGACCTTACTTTTTTTTAGAATCTTGTATTTTGAAATGCCCGCACTTGAAAACATTAAAATTTTTTTTTTTTAAAAAACCCGAGTACGCTAATTTACACTTCATCATCTTGGCTCGTGGTTTTGATTAAGATTTTACATACGAGGTCTGGCATGTAACCGAAAATTACTGTATTTTGTAAAGGTTTGGACCCGGTTGGACTGGAACCCATTGGTTGGGTATACATTGCTATCATTGGAATAATCCGTCTTAACGCTTCTCTTTCGTTTTTTTGTAAAGGTAAATTCTTGTGACGAATCGTCACCAATCAGAATTCCCAGCTAAGCACCTCTTAAACACGCTTTAAGGAAAATAAAAAGGCGCATTTAGATATAAACGTTTGCAACATTGAATCAGTTGATCGCACTTCAAAATTACCACAGTTTACGTTTAAACAGTGAGGAAAGTATCAATTTTTTATTAGGGTGTAGCTGTTTTGAAATAAGAACAACATGTGATACGATGGCTTCACCTGTTATTGGTATAAAATATAATAGGAGCGACATGGATCTAGCTTAAGGACCTTTTTTTTTAAAATCTGCATTTATGACAGATATGCAAGTATACGCTACAACATACGCTATCAACCTATTTTGGCTTTGGACATTCAAAAATCCAAAGGCTAAACTTCTGTAATTTTTGGAGCCATTCTTGAGATTACTCTGGTAAATACTGTTTCACTTTAGAGATTTCAAAAACATGTTGTACCTAACCGAATCAAACTACTCTTAATTTATTTATTGCTTTGTTTTGTTCACGTATATTAAACTTAGCTTTTATTAGCCCAAATTTAAAGTGGACTCACACTTTATACTTGGGCAAAACGTGGGAAAAATTTGGAATCAACAATTGTCTTTAGTTTTTGACTCAAATACCAGGTCTACATAAACTGCTGACAATCATTCCCTCGTTCCCCACCTGCAGAGAACGTTAGTCTAACTAAGTTTGTCATTTTTGTTTCACTATAAATTCTATAGACTGCAACGACCGTAATTGTTACGACCGAAAATCGCGGGTCAACCCAGGTCATTGCCTATACGATTTTTTTCGACCCTCGGAATGAACGGTGCGTATTACGTTCGTAATCTTACGTGGCGTAATACTTGTTACGTTATCTTGACGTTTAGAATATACAAGAAAAGACGAATAGGCATCGGCGCTGAGAAAAAAATATATTTCAATTCGAAGTAAATTGCTCTAAAGTTTCAATACAATAAAAGGGTTTAAAACGCATATTACAAGAGATCAGTAACCACGGTTGCTATAAAGCATTCGGAACGACGGGCCGTAGTTGAATTAAATGAAACATTTGTTAACTAATATATTACGCGTTTTAAACAGTTTAACGATTTCGTTAAGGTATCGGAAACGTCGTTAAAAAAAAAAGTTGGTTAATACAAATCGCGTTTTAAACTGCAATATATATTTTTATATAGAAATAAAGGGTTAAAAAACTAATTGATAGAAATTGTACAACATATATTACTATTGCAAGTACTTCTTTTCAAATGTATGCAATTAACCATGAACTGAATTATGTCATATAAACATTACAAATCTGGTTTGTCTAGAACATTTGATTTCAATAATTGAAAGTCAAGTGGAGGTTATAATTTAAGCCACTTTACTTATTAAATTATAATATATTAATGTATTTAGATTTAAAAAAATAACGACACGGGCGGGATTAGAACCGGCATCCACAGTTCAGTGTTAGATCAGCAGCACGAAAGGCTGTGGATGTCAGTTCGAGTCCCGCCCATGCCATACAATTTAAATAGATTTTTAATGTATTTAGAATAGAAAAAAAAACAAACTTATATTATTAGTTAAAATATCAACTTATAACTTCTTTAACTTTAATTTAATTATATATTTTTCCAATCTCACAGAATATCATAGACTCCCAATTTTTTATTAGTATGTCCTGCCCAGAATAAAATATTAGTCTTTTTTTCAGGTTTCGAATACACAAATCTTTACGCCTGACACAATACAGCTATAAAACTATACCAAAGAGGCCTAAATTTTTATAAACATTAGTAACTTACCGGTAATAGGTGGTTCCCGCAGCGGGGGCGGCGCTATACTCTTAGGTACCGATAGAACCTCAGACGTCATAGGCTTAACTTCTTCAGGTCTGTAATCTGGGGTTTGTTCTCTACTCTTCATACTTAGCATGTTCGAGAACGAACTGAACACCGCGCTAGCGACTTGCGGCAACACCGTGGGCAGTTGCGAGAAATTCTGAGCTATATCCGCCGTTATACTATGAATTTCCTCCTTCTCTTCTCTTTCTGGTTCATTGAGATTTATCTCTTCTAAATTCTCTTCAGCTGCCAAATTTGCGTTCTGATCTTCCTTTCTGTTCAGCGGTGCGCTTACGTACCTCGTGCCTTGCAATCTTGCGAAATATTCGTTAACGTCAAAATCATCGTCTGACTTTACTGAAGCTTTCGACTGGGTTAAGCCGATTTCTTGAAGTTCATTATTTTGCGAATCTTTATGTGTATTGAGAGAGATAGTTGATGTGTTTGATTGTGTGATTATGTTCGAGTTTGCGTCGCCAGATGGAAAATTTGCAGGTTTTTGGTTGGTGTTGATCAGGGACGTTGTCTGCGGGCCATGTTGTTTATCTGGAAAATATGAAGAAATTATTAATATGCTTAAGTTTGCATTAATTAAGTAATCCTAAACATCCCTTTTTTCACTGTGTAAAGCTTACTTCTAAAACGAATACATTACAAAGTACGTTTTTTGTTATCAAAGTTTTGGATTTTGATTTTGTTTCATACTACAAAAATAAAAAATGCAAAGCCCTATTGCTTATAATCAGATTTATCACTTTTCTCCGCGACTGCACCCGCCAAGTAGAAAGTGGTGCACTCAATCACAGATAAGTAGCAGCTCGAGTAATGTCCTAATGAAGTAGTTAGTGGACAATTAGTATTGTACTTATTTACAATCCCAAGTTTTCACATATTCGAGAAAAGCTACTGAATAAAAATCTTGTACACTGATACATGCATATCTTGCGCATTGTCATTTCAACCTTTCAATTTTCATTTTATATAGTGCTATCAATTTGAGTTCATATAAGTAGATTTACTGCAAGAGGTAAAAAAATCGAATCTTGGGATGTCATAACATAGCCAGTCCATAAAAACCATCCGTTGTAAAGACATGGAAATGTCCGCCTGACCTCATGGGCAAAAGATGGTGATTAAAAAATAGTTTAAATACACTCTATAGTTTACGAGTGTACTAAACTTTTAAATGAAACGCTTTTACCGGTTTAAAACACAAAATGTATTAGTTAAACTTTACAAAATATTTAACTCGGCCTGAGGTTTCGGATGCTTTGCAGCCGAAACTGGCTGGGTCCTTGCAGAGCTGACTAACGGTGTCCTTTGACATTAGAGACACCCTCCATCTTTAGTCCCCCAGTGTCCACGACTACTGCACAGTATGTGGGCTGTATTTAAAATAATTTTAAAGCGTTCAAAGTGTTTTATTTAAAAACTTATTTCTTTAAAAATGTGTGTGGTCTCAATAATTTGTACTCATTAAATAAAGCAATTTTCACTGAAAAAGCAAAGGAAATAGGCGTAGTAAGATTAGGCACTGAGTATTTAGCGTGATTCATTTCCCTACGTTACGGATAAATGTCGAAAACTGTTTAATACACAAACGACCATGTATATGGAACCACTCTTACGACGCCATAACCATTTATAAGAGTGCTTCCCATATAAACAATTATTCTTTCTAGATTTTAAAGTGTTTCTTTCAAATATATATACTGGGAAAATATTTATACACTAGCTGTGCCATCGACTTCGCCCGCGTATAATATAATGTTTTTGGGCATCACAATTTGTTTTTGCAAACCTTGAGGGGGTTTTATAAATTATAGCTATTATCCACCACGTCGTCCGCGTTTGTCGTTCTTGCAAGTCAACATTAAAAAATTTTTCGCAACGCACGCAACGGAAACTCACAAGGATTAATAATTTTCCCCGTCTTTTCTAATATTCCGGTGGCAGCGTGACGTTTTATAGCTTAAAGCCTTCATCGATAAATGTTTTAACCAACAAAAAAAAAAATTAATTCGAACCAGTACTTTATGAGATTAGCGCGTTCAAACACACAAACAAACAGAAATTTCTTCGTCGTTTACAAAACTAACAAAATCCACCGTTGCACTGCAACCGCGCCACGCCAAAGTAAAATGTTATCATTACACGCCTTTGATTACTAGACAAACGAACGAATTACGCACTTTCCGACACACTTTGTATATTTTAGGTTAATTCTACTGTGTCTGTTGCGCAAGAGTTCCCATGATTCAGTGTTAATATAGCATTTTTCACAGGAGGGTACAAAAGCCGAATTAATACACATTCCGTGCTATTACAAATGTTATTTTATACTAGCCTCGTCTCACTCTCACACTCACGACGTCGGTCGCGTCTCGTCGTTCTTGCAAGTTAATCTTAAAAGATAGACATATTTTCAGATCATTTAAAGAAAAATCATCATTCTTTCATACATATTTATTGGACATCTTGAGCCGTTTTCGCAGCGTACGCATCTGAAACCCACAGACATGAAAAAATTCCTCCATTTTGTTCACATTACCCGCTTCATCTTCGCTTCTATTAGTCACAGCGCGAGGTTTCATAGTCAAAGTACAAAAACCTTCCTCTGGGTAAATGTCTCTTATCAACGTCACAAAATATTTATAGAATCTAACTTTACATTTACTACCAGGTTCTCACATCAAGGGCGTAGAACGAACGAGAAGAACTGGCAATAAACTCGCCGTCACTCCTTTTACCGCCAAGTTTCATTTTACATTCTTGATTTACTTTTAGTACACTACATATTTTTCCGACAAACAGACTCTTTAGCTATATATATATAATAGTATAGATAACATTGTTTAATATGGCACAAAAAAGCGATTATGTAAAAAATAATTCCCGTTACAATTTCGATATAAAAAAAAATTACGACTATCATATAAAAATTGCTCTTAATGCTAATACAAATAAGATTGATTATTCCTCGAACATGATAAATGTAAATACAATAATTACCTCATGTTACCAAATAGTTCCCTTGGAAAAGTTATTGAAAAACGTTTTTAATCTCAGTACGACCTATCGGCACGTATTGTTACGATATAGTACAAACATACCTATTCAGTACTACCTTTGATGCTCGTTGGTCTAATAGTAGCAATGTACGACCAATAATCAACGGGTCGTGGGTTAGTCCCCACCGGGTCCAACGTGATTCTGATTAATTTATAACTTTCCTGTTGTTGGACTTCGTCTGTAAATCTGTATATTGACAAAAAAAAAAAAAAAAAAAAAAAAAAAAAAAAAAAAAAAAAAAAAAAAAAAAAAAAAAAAAAAAAAAAAAAAAAAAAAAAAAAAAAAAAAAAAAAAAAAAAAAAAAAAAAAAAAAAAAAAAAAAAAAAAAAAAAAAAAAGGGGGGGGGGGGGGGGGGGGAAGGGGGAAAAAAAAAAAAAAAAAAAAAAAAAAAAAAAAAAAAAGGGGGGGGGGGGGGGGGGGGGGGGGTATAAAAAAAAAAAAAATTTTTTTTTTTTTTTTTTTTGTGTGGGGGGGGGGGGGGGGGGGGGGGGGGGGGGAAAAAAAAAAAAAAAAAAAAAAGGGGGGGGGGGGGGGGGGGGGGGGGGGAGAGAAAAAAAAAAAGGGGGGGGGGGGGGAAAAACCCCCCCCCCCACAAAACAAAAAAAAAAAAAAAAAAAAAAAAAAAAAAAAAAAAAGGGGGGGGGGGGGAAGAAAAAAAAAAAAAAAAAAAAAAAAAGGGGGGGGGGGGGGCCCCCCCCCCCCGGGGGGGGGGGGGGGGAAAAAAAAAAAAAAAAAAAAAAAAGGGGGAAAAACAAAGGAAAAAAAGAAAAAACCCCCAAAAAACAGGGGGGGGAAACCCCACCAAAAAAAAAAAAAAAAAAAAAACCCCGGCCCGGCGGTCCGGGGGCTTGGCGGCGGCCGGGGCCCCGGGGAGACGCGTTTTAAAACGTTAAAGTGTTTTATTTAAATGTGTACCACTCGCGTAAAGCTATAGACAATACCACCATTCCCCTCTATACTATGGACCTGGCATACCACGATTCGTGTCCACGTTCCCCCGCAACAAGACAATAATAAAACATTAGCGAGTCTAAATGCTAACAAAATCAAAACCGGTCTGCCCTTACTACGTTGTCCGCTGCATACGAATTTCGATCAAATTATCGGACGGCGTTATGCAACATTGATTTAGAGTAATTTATACTATTTGTAAACTTTACGTTATAACTTTGTCATTTCATCTTCAATAGTTAACTTAAACTGCACAGCGTAAGACATTAAAAAAATAAGCTCGAGTCGTAATTTTTTTAAAATTTATAATCAATTTTTAATTTTATTTATACTAACTTTATAATACTGAACTATTATAATTAAAGTCTATTTGAATAATCTAAGATACTGATGATACTGGCTTATGTGTTACCTTTAGAACCTTAGAAGCAGTTTTGATTAATAAAAAAAGCGACAACGACACGACTATGAAGTTAGCTTTTTTTTAAATTTTTTGAGTACATAGACTTATTTAAATAAAACACGTTAACGGTTCAAAACGCAATGTAAATGTATGAACGTTAAAGTTATTTGGAAATTATTTTAACTACGGCCTACAGTATTTTGCGATTAAGGAGGACTACAGCCGAGTTCAGTCAGTCGCTATAATAACCTGTATAAGAATATAAACCCTTAAAATCTTACATTGAAAGTACTTATATCGAAGATACTAGCCATAACTCGCAGAAACTCAATATCTATTGATAACAAAATGCGGCGCATTTGATGTTCTAATAAAAAAATTACTTTGAAGAATTATGACCAGCACACTTGTTCCAGAGAACATGATACGTAAACCTTTATACTAGTGGTACGAGTTAGATCCATTGGTTAGTACACGCAACTGGCAGATAAGTCCCGGATTCAAATATCGGATGAGGTGTCATGTTAGTTTGGGTTTTGCTAAATTTTACTTGTCTATGGTAAAATTTAACACTCAGACAATAAATGTATATATGGACACCATGATTACCATGTGTTTTTAAATGGGTGGTAGGATTATTAAAATTCCGTCTAGTTCACGGACCACCGTCCTCAGAAAAAAAGCCGAAAAGGATAAACACATGTCGGTTTCAGTCTGCAGAATTCCGAATCCAAAGCCAAAATGGATCGACAGAGCATCTTATTACGATGTTATATGGCCAGGGTATCTGGTATACCACCAAGTGAACCACCATGTCCATTGTCTGTCATTCTCTCTCTTATAAAACCTAAAATACTAAAAAGGAAAATGATAAAGCTGAAACAAAGCTTTATCGCACTTTCGCTAACGACTTCGCGGAAAGCGATTAGTAAAGCCCACACCCAAATTTCCTAACGCATTCCTGCACAATGACATTTCCCGATAACGAAAACCCGACCGGAAAATAGATAGCGATATGCATAACGCCGTCCACCATTGATCCTTGTAAAAATCACCTGCGCCCGCGTCGACGGACAGTCTGCGCGCGAACAACGCACGGTGTGAACGTGCGAGCATTTTGAATTCCGAATTCCCGGTAATAACCGTTCGATTTTTAAAATTCACAGTGAGTTTGGAGTGTGGGATTTTTGTGTGTTACGTCGTTTTTTGGAATACAAGTGATTTGATTGGTCAGTTTATTTTTGTTTTGTTTGAAAAAGCTCAGTACCGAGCTTTCGGTAGATTTTTCTATTGTTCTAAAGTCACGGCGTGTATTCAAATAAACTTAATATAAGTTAAACTGCCCGAATTTCAAAATTGTAGTCTGTAATAAATACAAAGTAAAAAAAAACAACTCTCTGTACATAGTTTAACAAGCTCATCGGAAAATTTCAATGCAGTTAAATAAAAATCTGAAGGAAAAACAACACACAGCGATAATTTTTGCTGCCATATAATGAATATATTAAAACTTCTAGATATGACATTTCTTCTTATAGGCAAAAAATACACCTGAATTCATCGGAGACGAAAAGGGTAGGAATCTTTCAAAGTGAACCCTACGTCAAGAAACATAAGTAATTAAAAATTATAAGTAACTATCAAGTAACAATTCGTCAAGTGTCTCAAAAGGTGCATATAAAACACCATAAGATTCAATAAAAATTTTAAATGCCTCGTGAAGGCATTGTACTACCAATAACGACAAATTATATCACTGATCTTAGCTTATTATTATCTAATTGTTTTTTTAAAGAAATAACTGTTCTATAAATACACTGTTGTATTTTCTGTGGTAAAAGGTCTTTCCGTAGTTAAAATTAATTGTTAATAAGTGTATATATTTCTCGTTTCAAGGCGTCAAAGGTCTTATAGTTTACCATATACAATTTTATATCAAACAACTTAATTTATTTATTTACAGAAATAACTAGCTAAGATTCTAAGGTTTGTTCCAACGCATTAATCTCAGGGACTACTATTTCGAATTAAAAAAATATTTCTCTGTTAGTAAGAGCGTTTATTGAGGTAGAATTTGGAGGATAAAAAAAACAACAATAGAAAAGATAAAGGAAAAAAAAATGGGAAAATGATTCATCGCCTCGAAAACTGTTTAAAATACCGATAAATATGTAGACAAGGATGGTTAATATTTAAATAATCTAAAAATGTCCGCGACAGTATCGGTCTCATTAAAAAAAATAACCAGGATTAAACCAGGACTGTGGAGTCTTGGTTTAACTCGAACCATGGTCGAAATTATTCCATATTACAAAACGGAGACTACACCTCGGCTTCGTAAACTAGGAATTCGAGCCATTGTCAACAACACCAAGATAATTAAGTATTTTTATAAGTACCGCAGATAATTATGCCTCCATAAGACACCAAACTCGTAACGAAACGTTAGCAAATTCAAATGAACAACGTCAAATTTGAGAACTTTAACTTTAAATTTTTCACACGCACACGAAGGCACTATTGTATAATTTTAAAAATCGAAAACAAATTAAAAAAATGTTCGAGTATCGGGCAGAACTTGAATCGGCATCGTCAGCGCTCTCGCTCTACCAACAACCTGACTCGGTAGCTCAATTGGTAGAGCAACAGCACGGAACACTAACGATGCCGGTTCAAGTCCTGCCCGAATCGAATTTTTTTCAATTTGTTTTCGAATTTTAAATTACATAACGTCGAATTTGAAATGGGTCTAAATAATTAAACCAGAGAGCGGGAGCCTTTAAAATTAGTGCAGTACAGACAGTAATTTTCGTTGTCTAATAAGGATTAAAAAAAACATGATTTACACCAAGTTAGAGTTAATACGCGTAAATGCTATCTATATTTTGAGACAAAGTCACGAAAATCGTCACTATGGGACTCAAATTTCGACGAATTACTTCATATGGCAAAAAAAAATATTGTCATATGAATATAAATACGTTAAAAACGTTAAATAAAAAAATAAAATGTGTCTATAGTAACAAATAAGTAAACACACGCTTACTAAGTTGCGAAAGATCACGATATTATGATAATATTTAAATATCTTGTATTTAACTGATCGTAATCTCCGCTTATTTACTCATACTTTATAAATCACGATGTGTTTGTACATTTTTACGGCCAGCAAAAAAAAACATTTAATTTTTATGCTTAAAACTAACTGTTTTTTGGTGGTGGTCAGAGTGGCGTTTACTTAATGCCATGTAACACGTAGATTTGATTCGCCCTATTGGTTTTGAATATAGAACCAAACAGACTGAAATCAAAGTTTGTATAATAGATTGACACGTATGAATTTGTTCTAGGAGCTTTCTATATGATATTGTCGTTCACCAAAGCTCGTGTCAAAGTTTCTTTACAGCACACAACCGAGAATCGAATGCCGGACATAACAAGTCGTCTGCATAAACTACTAGACTTGTCTCTTGTATATTCTCTTTCTCATATATTCAAATACAGAGAAAAAAAATATTTTTTAACATTGCTGACCGTACAAACGAGTACTCGGAAAAACTCGTCGCTCAAAACAACTTATTCACGAAAGAGAAAAAAGCTATTAATAAAAATCATACGACAAATTTAGCATCAATAACATAGTTGATAAAAAAACTATAAAAAAATGTTTGCTTCGTGTTAATAATTATGCTAGTCGCGAGAACAAACAGACTTCCTACTAACATTATAAACGAAAACGCTTGTAGCACTCACGGTCGTGGATAAATAAAACATTTTTAACAGTTGAAAACAACATATTAAACTACATACTTACCCCGTAACGGTAGCTGCTGAGAGTGACCAATCGTCGGGTGGTAGTTATTTTTAAATTACCTAATATATAGCGCGTTTTAAACCGTTAAAAGTGTTTTATTTAAACTGACATTTGGACACGCAATTTTTATCTTGGATATGCTTACTTGTTCTTAAAGTAAAAATTTCACCAAAACGGCTCTATCTATATGAATGAAATTTTCACATAAATATGTCTCAAACAGTAGATAAATGTACTTAAATATTACATTACTACACGTTATGGCGTATGGCACATGATGGCGTTGTATACATTAAAAATCTCTTTAGTAAAAATAAATACAGGGGCAGACTTGAACTGCCGCCACAGTTGCATTGCTCTAACCGATTGAGTTATCGTGTCACGAAACGCTGTGGATGCCAGTTCGATTTCCGCCTATGTATTTTTTCTAGATAAATTTTTAATTTATGTAAATACTTAGTCAAAAGCTCTAGCTAATAAATTAACAGCGAAATGATTCTAGGCACCTGCGCGTATTGTATGACAAAACCGGTCCTCGCTTTGTTTACTAAATATATTCAAATTTGCGGTCACGCGCAGCCAATATTCATTACTTCCACCCAATAAATTATTGATTAATTACGACTAGTTAATTCACGCCGCTCCATCCATTTATTGTTATTTGTCAATTTATACTATTATTATAAATGAAGAATTTGTTTGAACGTACTAATCTCTGAAGATGGTTCAAGAAAAAATTTTTTTTTTTTTTTTCGTTGGGAAAATGGTTAGGAAACAAAAAATCGTATCAAAAAGATCAAAAAAAAAAATACAGCGACAAATTATTTTAGAAGATAATAGAAGAAAGAGAGTGGGACTAAGTTTCTAAAGAGACCAAAAACACTATCCGGGTGAAACACAGGCAAGAGTTAAGAAAAAGAACCTTCTTATCTGCATAAAAATATTTTTGTGAAATCCTATTTACCAGTTGGGGGCATAGGGCGAACACAATTCTGTGTCCTGATCCAACATATCTTATTAACAAGTAATTACACCGTCAAACGAGTTTTATTGAACTCTTACACTTACAGACAATACCTACAATTGACATGGTGCGTCGTGCTCGGCTGAAACATTTTTTTATACCACGATTCGAACCTGGGAGTGGCAAGTCTGATCGGTTGAACTACTAGGCGTTTGAATAGTAGAGCTAAAAATTAGAAGCACCATCAGAATCGGTCAATCTGTTAAGCAGTAAATGCGAAACATTCATAAAAACTAATTTTTAACTATATACCATATAGTTAAGTAACAAAAGCTTTCTTGAATGATTAAATAAATTTGCATAATTTAGTCTTACACGAGACACTTTTTAAAGATTATGACACGAGGCACTAAAGGCACAAAACGCTACGTCGTGGGTTCGAATCTCGCCTGTGTCGATATTTCCAATCTATAATTACTAATTTAGAATTTGAATATCAACGAATCCGAGTAAGCGACGACAAGTCGTGTCTATAACGGCCAAGTTAACTTCCTCTTGGCAAGTGACAACAATTGTGGGTCAAGGAGAATTTGTGAATATTTGGCGTGCTTTTATCTGTACCACATTTTCGAGATGTAATTAAATACAAGGTATTGATTACAGCACTTTAACAGTGCTATTCTTAGCTATTATATTATAAATTGGCTCGCAATAAGAAATTGTTTCATGTCGTGCCATTTATTATGGAAGGCTTAGGCTATAAAACAGGCTGCGACCAATAGAAGCGAATGAACAGTGGGAAATGTGAAAAAAAACGAGAAAAATTATTCACCTTTAAGTGATTTCGTTCCGTGCGCTGCGAAAACGGTTCAATGTAGAGAAAAATATATATAGCAGAATTATTAAAATAAAACACTTTAACTGTATAAAACGAGATATATATTAGTTAAACTTATTTGAAAAAAATATATATCGAAAAAATAAGGTACTACTCGCGTAACTATAGACAGTATTTAAGTTTAAACATTTCGTTTAAAACCATTAAAGTGTTTTATTTAATTATGTACTACTCGCGTAAATTAAAGACAATATTTAAAAGAATTATTCCCTGAAGTAATAAAGAAAATCCATTGAATGTCGTTCTTTACAATTACATGAACACGGTCTGAATCATTGGGGTCGAATACGAGAGAATATTAGTATTTCGTGTTTTAAACAGTTAAGTGTTTTTCTTATATTAACTACTGTGCAATAGTTACGCTTCTAAACTGTTTTAGGCACTGAAGTATATATTTTTTTCATCTATAGTAATAATTTTTCTTAAACATGTTATAATGCTGTTCTTAAGTCTAACAAATAAAAAATGTAGATGTTTCCTTTTTCGGTCGATAGTGGATGACCGGCCTTAAAATGTTTTACCCGGAAAAACAAGAATCTTACAACCTTGTACGTGGTGTGAATGCAAATTTATAATTATTTGTGTACTACTTAAACAACGATGCACTCCGTAATATTTACTTAAATCTCTAATTTGCTTCTATTAAAAGTTCTATAATATATTCGAGCTGATAAAACGTTACAATTTTTAGACATTGTGTCGTATAAAACACAATGATGAAAACGATTTTTGACGGTTCAATAATACATTGATACTTTTATTCACCCGAAATTAGGATGCTTTGCAGCAGCTGTGGTCGCGATCAAGGGAGCGATGAGCCATTATTATTGTATAATTTCATAATGTCAAAAAATAAAATAATCAGTTTGCATTCCAATTTTAATATTACCGTTTCAACGTTAAAAAAAACGTTTTCATTTAAACATCTGTTGTTTAAATAAAAGACTTTCAACTTTAAACGTGAAATATATACGGTATTTTTTTTACTAAGACCCAACGTTTCAGAAGCCTTGCGGCATGGTCAACAGCAACACCAGCGGAGTTCTTTTGCACTAAGCGATCTCTTTTAGGCAACCCTTAGGAAATTCATGTAAAACAAATTATATTCGGGGATTATTAACTTTCCTGAATAAAATATTAACCTATACGCCTTTTACCTGTCTATCTTATTCTTACTTGAAGAATGTCAAGTCGAGTGACTTCCTATGTATGCATTGTCGATGGGATAATTAATGGCGGTATGCGCAAGGTAGTCGAGATGCGCGCGCGCATCGTTCCGGGATCAACACACCGCAATGTGAACTCAAAGGACATTTTACAAGTGTTGTGACATTCGTCTTATACGTAGCGCAGATAGAACTGGTAATTTAAGTAAAACACTTTAACTGTTTTAAACGTGAAATACATAAGTAAACTTGTTTACAAGCTATTTTAACTACAGCCTAACGTTTCACGGGAGAGTTTAACCAATATAAGAGTTTTAAACGGTTTTAAAGTGTTTTTATTAAAATGCGTTCTTTCGGCGTAAACTATAGACAGTAAGAAACGGTAATATTAAAATTGCAATGCAAACTGATTATATATAATACATACTTATACGTACCTAAATGTCTCTGAAATTGAATTTTTTACCGTCATCTATACTTCATATATAAAGCTGAAGAGTTTGTTAAAAAAGGTAAAGGTACCCAAAAAATATGTATGAAGGAATAATTAATTTTTAATTGATCTAAAAAAAGTCCACGACGCTATATGTCTATCTTTTATAATTAACTTGCAAGAACGAATTTGAATTTCCAAAAATAACGTTTCTCGTGGACGAAGTCGCTTACACAGCCAGTTTATGAATATTATTGGTTTAATATATTTATTGTAATAATAAATACAATTTTATAAGCAATTTATCTGGCACTTCGAGCCGTCTACCTTCTTTAATATCTCGAAACGCAAAATTTTCCACGCAAACCGGTGAAACAGCTGACCCGAAATTGATGCAACGCTTACGAAATCAACCAATATTAACGTTCATGATGAATGTGTGCTATGACATAAGCGTACAATAAATCCTGCAACACATTTGCCAAGAGTGGGGAATATTCTGATAAAAATAAAAATATTCGTATAACGTCCAAATTCTTTTTTAAATTTTTCGCAAATGATTTAAACGTCACGAAGATGCGCTGACGTCCTTTAGACATTATGTACATAATTTATAAAATGACCAGAAAGATCCTTGTTCAAATGATCAGAAGGTACTCCTACATACTCCATATTTCCACCACTTAATATCCAGATTTTCACATAATATATAACTTCTTGATAGTATGTATCTATCTAAGCATGCTGGCACATTAGGATGTTGACGGGTGTAGTAAATGAGGCAGGGTGACGAGCGTCTTCAAAAGTATGGACATCAAAAAGTACAAAAGCTCTCTGGAGATCCGACGTAAAACCTCTTATCTAAAGCCCGGAAACCGTCTGGTAAATCATGGTCTAGTCTGTAGAAGGCTTTTTGCGACGTGATCCAAATAAACTTTAAATTACTTAATATTACAAAAATAATTAACTAGCTGTGTCACCGACGTCGTCCGCGTAGAATAGTAACTATTATGGGCATATTCAAAATTTGTTTTTTGCAAACTTCCTGTTCAACTTCGCTTGTATTAGTCACAGGGCGATGTTTTAGCCTTCAATACAGCCTTCCTCGATAAATGCTCTAACCAATCCAAAAATCATTTTTCAATTCGAACTCGTAGCCCCTGATTAGCGCGTTCAAAGGAACAAACTCTTCAGCTTTATATATTAGTATAGATAAAATTAAAATATCTACCGTCTATAATAATATCTTTATTATTATTGATGATGATGTACCGGAAGAAGAAAATCTACTAAGGCCTAGTAGAAAGGGCAAAATGGTATTTGACGAGACAAAAACAAGTAACTGGGGCCATTTTTAGTATCGCAAACCACGAGCGAACACAGCGCAGATAGTTATATGTAAAGAAATGTTCCGTCGCCGTAACTTAGTATGCTCTGTGGTGTTAAGTTTTCTCTTATACAATCGAGATTACGTCACCGAAGGGCTAATGACTCAGTCATTATGTCTCGGCCTTAGCGAGTTATTGGAGATCTGCGGTAAAATGCAGGGAACCACTAATATTCAAATGAAACTTACAACTGTTTAAAACGCGAAATATTAACGTAACGAAGTTGTAATTATGATTCGACAGTAAGCTCGATTTAGAGCAGTCGAACATACGTTATCCTAATATATTGAACGTTTTAAACCGTTAAAAAGGTTTTATATTAAAGTGTTACAGAAAGAATAATACATAACGAAAGAGGAGGATAGACAGGCATAGGGTTTATTTGATGGTACATACCCCGCCTATAGCACCTAAAGATGCGCTCTCGAGCTATTTAGGCTTTGGAAATTCGGAAATCCACATAACCGAAACGCGATTAAGCTTCACGGCTATCTCATCTGTAGACGGTGGTCGTGACCTGGACGGAATTTCTATAATCCTACCACCAATTTAATATCCGATTTCCAGGCGAAGTCAAACATGTTTCATAAACTTGAAAAATTTGAAACATGTTAGACCCGATGGGGATCGAACTCGCGACCCGTTGATCATTAGCCTTACATCGCTACCATAATACCAACGAGCCCGTCAACTACAGACAGAATTTAACACTGGAATAGATAAGAAAATTGAAGCTAGTACCTATATATTATAAGTTATGTCACACCCAGTAGCTAACACAAAGCGAAATCAATCTACGGAACCGAAGTTAATATTCTCAATACACTTTTTATGCGATGGAATCCTGTTCTTAATTGAGCAGCACGTGCTCCGAAAACGCGAGGTATCTGAATTCCGAAAGCTTTTTTGTCTTTTTTTGCTCCACATCAAGTTCGTAAACAACAATTTTGAATGTCGATAGCTGCATAATGTATATATTGTTTTACCTCGCTACCGGAATTTAATTAAAGTTTATTTAAATAAAACGTGGCCACGGGGAGACTTAGCTGCTGCAAAGCTTCCGAAACGTCGGGCCGTAGTTGAGATAAATTTTGAATAAGTTTCACTAATATATTTCGCGTTATAAACCGTTGAAATGTTTTATTTAAATGTGAACTACTCGTGTAAACTAGATACAGTATTTTTTGGTAGCGAAAGACAAGTCAGCATGTGGTTCACTCGATGATATGATGATGAAAGGTGAAGTAGCCCAGTCATACAAGAAGTTAAAGTGATAGTCGATCTACGTCACAATTCTTTGTTAATTCGAAAATTGACAGACTGCAAGTGGAAAATTTACACTTCATGGCTTTTCCATCTGTTGACTGTGGTTCGTAAAGGCAGCGCACAATTAATAACCAGATTTCCCAGAACATGAGTTTGTTAGCCATTTGTTTACAGCGTTACTAAGTAACGAATCTCTTTGATTTTGAGCATGTAAGTACAAAGAATTTACACTCAAACGAAAATAACGCAACCTATAAACTTTTGTACAAAAAAAAATTTGTCCGCTAGATTAAAAAAATACTAACAATGTACTCCAGGTTTATAATAGATATTTTTATCCACAGATACATTATGCGACGATGGCTTCCAAAACTACCCTCTTACTGCTATTAGCAATATTCGGAAGCAACTGCGAGGACGTCAATCTGTCAGGCGAGAACGAGACTTACGTAGACGTACTAGACACGGAAGCGGACAGAGCGTACAGATATAATACAGAAGCAGACAGGACATACAGATATACTACAGAAGCAGACACAGATGTAAGAGAAGACACAGATATAAAAGCAGAGACGGATTCAACAGATGGATCTGAAACAACGATACAGGACGCAACAGCGACGGAACCGTTCACTATGTCGCTAGACAATACTGTTTACGTTAGGGAGGTAGACGCACAAAGTCAAGATAACAATGAGCAGGTATTGTTAAGAATTTGTTTGTTACATTTATTGATAGAAAACAAGCTAAAGAAATTACTATGTAATTACAAGTATTTTCTTACCCACGGAATCGGTGTTGTATTTAAATAAAACAATTTAACTCGGTTTAAAGTTTAAAAGGATATATTATTAAACTTATTTGAAAATGATTTTCTCTCCCCGTGACAACGGCTGCTGCAAACCATCCGAAACGTCGGGCCGAAGTTAAAAATAATTTTCAAATAAGTTTAACTAATGTATCGCGTTTTAAACCGTTAAAGTGTATTATTTAAACACACCTTACTTTATTATATTAGTTAAGATCACACTACGATTTGCAACATTGCAGATGGAACCAATATTAACTACAACAAGAGCTGCCGATGCTATTGACGGCATCTCACCAAATATATCTGAACTGGATGAAGAATTGGAGACGTCGGGGCAGCGAAACCCAAAAACAGACAGTTGTAAGTAGTTATTCGTTTTCTAATCATTCTTATAGCTGGTAATTCGATCTCCACCAGGTCCATCATGTTCCTAATTTTTCAATTATTTTTTTAACATGTCGTTTCGTCTGCAAATCTATGTATTAAATGGGTGAGATAAACTATAGTACATATATATAATATAACTATAAAGAAAATCCGTCCGGGTCTGTGGATTTCCGAATATCCAAAGCCAAAATAGGTCGACGGCGCAACGGACATAGCTTGGATGCTATAGGCTGGAGTGTATCACTTGCCATCAAATTAACCCTATCTTTGTCTATCCTCAAAGTATGGCACGGGCAAGACATGAACTGGCGTCTACAGCATTCCGTGCTCTCAGCAATAGAGTTACCGTGTCCTACTCGTCACCGTCGAATTATTCATTCTGGCCTAGTATCATTATTTTTATCAGAAGACAGACCAGCATGGAGTGCACCTGACAATAGGTGAAATTGTCCAGCCATAGATCAGAGCAGATGCGCTGTCGACCTTTTTTGGCTTTGGATTATAAATTCTAAAACATTGGTGATACGAGAACATTTTGATTTGAATGTGTTGCTCTCTATATTATGAATTTTTGATAAGGACAGTAAAATAGTGAGTAATTGGAATCGAATTTAGGACCTTATTAATTGAGCTTCTGTAACAAGCGGCTCATACAAGCGAGTAAGTCGAGAGGCGATAACACGACAAATCTCTGACAAATTGCTAGTTTTCCTTCGTATAATTCACTTGTACTTTCTACGAGTTAACAGCTGTAACGTTATTAAAACTAGCTCAAAGCTTGTTGCAAGTAATCGATTCCTTTCCTACTATAAACTAAGACATGAAACATTCCTAGTCTTTCTCCCTATAAACCGCCTCATTGGTCTGGTGCTAAGTGCATTTGACTCCAGACCACGAGGTCCCAAGTTCATTCAAGCTAGAGAAATCATACTTAGGTAGTTATGTTTTCCAATAAATGTCCGGTACTAGCCTGCGTTACAGAGTAGATGTGTCTCGTCAGCCTCTTACAACTAAACTCACGTTAAAACCCACCAACCGATACTGGGACCAGTGTCAATTCAAAATCAAAATTTTACTGTTTCCGTATACATGTTTGGTGGTATTGTGGTGGGTCTATGCTCCTGAAACCCTCTCCTGAGCGGTTTTTTAGAAAGAATGGACTACTGCCTAGATTAGCAACCTATTAATAACGACCCAAAATCTCTTTCCTTCCAGCGGATGCCAAACCACCCCCCGAGACCAGAACCTACAAGCCCAAACCCACACCAGCTCTAAGCAAGACCTCCACACTTCGATCTTGGCTGGAGGATTCTTGGCTTCGACCGCCGGCTGGGGTGTTGGTGCCTCTGCGACCAGCTGCATTATCTAGAGCGCTTGCAGTTTGGAACGACCTGGTGTCAGATGGGCTGAACCTGACGGACATAGTTATAGTGGGATATGATGCCAATGGTAAGTTCTTTTATGGGAGGAAGCCCTATCTATTCCCATATGCTTGAAGCAAAGAACAGTTGATCCCTTTACTGCCTTTAGAGAAGTTTCGTTAAAATTATTTACATAAAATACTTTGCAGTAACCGTAACCACGATACGGCATCCGAAACTTCCGGCCATGGTTCAAATAAATGTTATATAGGTTGACGTTTAAAACGTGGAATCTATTAACTTAATTTCAATTTAGCTCTGTCTCAGCCTCATGGTCACCGACGTTGTTAAATTAAATTTATTTATTTTAATGTGTAATATTCGCGTAAACTAGAGACAGTCTACTAAGATGGATCGCTTGCTACGAGGATTAACAATTCAATAAAAAAGACGCGAAATACAACTAAAATCAGCCGGTATACCCAGAGACAAAAAATAATGCAATTCGCTCAACGTAATGCGTATATCGACGTAGTTAACTAGAAGTGATTTAATAAAAAAAATTAAGAATCGACTAAATAGCGGTAATTTTACAATTTATAACCGATTTTTAATTTATATAATGCCATCATGTTTCACATGAATGAAGTTTTCAAATATTTAATAATTTTTCAGCCGGTGCCAAATAAAGTCCTAATGTGGCAATATCTTAAAATAACTTTATCTATAAAATATCATCACAATCGGTTTATAAACGAGAAAGTTGTTCTGTCGAATCGAAAAACTCTTTTTTTTTAAGTCGGTTAATAATAATCGGCATGTTGGACCCACTACAGATGGACCAACAAACCTATTAAAATCACCTTCTGGTTGAAAATAAATGGTCTCAAGCATCTAGAAAAACAATAAAATTAAATGATATATCGACATAATCATTAGCTTGGACACAAAAAGGCAGTAATTGTCGCTTAGAACTTGAATAATAGTGATGTAACTACGCGCATAAATAAGCATAAGTGACATAGTGTTATATAAGCTATTATATATAACGATTAGAGAAAGAGATAGTTCCGACGAGCTAGTTGGTGTAGTGGTAGCAATTCACGGCTCACAATCCACGGTTCGCGTGTTCGATTCCCGCTGTTGTTTTTTATGATAGAGGAGGAGAAGCACGAAGTTCACTTGATGGTAGGTGAAATAATCCAGCCATGTAATATCTAAAAAAAGATGCGATCTCCCCGCGACCACGGCTGCTGCAAAGCATCCGAAACGTCGGGCCGAAGTTAAAAATCATTTTCAATAAGTTTAACTAATATATCGCGTTTTAAACCGTTGAAGTGTTTTATTTAAAAGATGTGATGTCGACCTATGTCTATATGCTTTCGATATTCTGAAATCCACAGACTGAAACCGAATCGCGATTAAACTTTTTCATCTGTGGACGGCGGTTCGTGGCCCAGACGGATTGTCGATATTCCCAACGCCCATTTCAAATCCATATTTCCAGACGAAGTCTGACATGTTCCATGAAAAAAAATATGAAAAGCAAGACCGAACGAAACGAATGAAAATAATTTAAGAGTTAGGGAAAGAATAATTGACGCGGTGGAAAGGGTTTCGCTTTTATTTGTATGCACATTACGTCTAAACTAAATGATCTATTTAAATCATATTAAATATCAGTTATTTTTTTTAGCCAGCATAAGAAGTGAAAAATGTGTAATCAAAAATGCTATTTTAATAATGAAAATAGCGTTTTTAATTAAGCAGTCGCAAGTTATGCTATAAAACGCTAATGAAAAACTATGCGACGCATTGCCGTGCTGACCGTAAAACGTCAATTATCGTCAATAAATTATGAGAATTCGCAATTACACGTTATGTAAGTCGCGCTATGGGAAAAATGTCGCATTGTAATCGGGGGGCGATTCTTGTAATAGCGATATATTTACGTAGACTTCTATCGCCGGTTTTATTTATACTAATACATAAACCTGAAGAGTTTGTTGAAACACGCTAATCTCAGAAATAACTGGTTGGTAAAACATCACACTGTGTCTAATAGGAGCGAAGAAAACAGCGGATAATGTCGAAATCACGGGGAAAATTATTCAACTTTATGAGTTTCCGATGCGTAGGCTGCGAAAACGGTTCAGGATACCCAAAATATGTAGTAATGGATGATTCCTCTTTTAATGGTCGAAAAAATGTCGACGACTCTATATTTAACTTACGAAAACAATGGGACGCGATCGACGTTGTGCGTAATAGCTTCATTTCTCTAAGATGTATGTACAAAAATAACAATTCTACGCGGACGTTGTCGCTGATACAGCTAGTTCCAATATAAACTTCATGAGAATTGCAATACGCAAAAAATAATTATTTATTCCTTAAAATGTTTTTCTTTAGTGTATACACATTTGGAAACCGGATTTTTTATGGAATGAAAAGTGTGAGTAACTTATTTACTTCATGCATTATAATGACGACATTTCATAAAATTTCAAGCCGATTGGTATAGACAACACAGACAGTTATACATACAATATAGTGTGTGGCTCTGCAAGAATCGGTTAAACTAACCTGAAACAAAAAATAAATATTATTTACGATATTTTTATTTATGTATCTTTCAAAATGTAACTGAGGTTAACATTTTGTTGCACGACCAGACATCGAATTCAAGACCTTAGAACCAAAAGTCGTAAATACCACGAGACGATCACAACTCTCTTAGATATTTGCACCAACAAAAATTATAATATCAATTGTGACACCTTTTCGGCCTTGACTATCTGGTAAGAGATTGTCGCCGATTCGTTTCGGCCCATTTGGTCGACGATGCGTGGCGGGGTTTAGACAACAGTAGAACACTAGCGCGCAGCCCTGGCTTTGCTCCTAAAGAATTAAATTATGAAAAATAACGTATCTAAAGTAAATACGTCTATTTATAAACGATTTTGCAAAGCACAAAAGAATTCGGATAAGTTACCAATATAATTATCAAAATGGTCGTACCGTTTAGCCGAATAAGTAACAAACAAAATAATTGAACTTAGCCAACGCCAATACAGTTAAGTCCAAATTTGTTTAGATTACATTCAGCTACTTCTCAAATAGCCAAAGCAAAAGCTAAAGAGTTTGTTTGTATGAACGCGCTAATCTCAGGAATAACTGGTTCGAATTGAAAATATATTTTTGTGCAGTGGGAAATGTAAAAAAAAGGGGGAATTTTTTTTATCTTTTTCGTTTCTAATGCGCACGCTGCTGCTACTGCTGCTGCATACTTGGCTGCCCTCTTCTGTCATTAAAACGAGAACTTCATATTCGTCAATCTTTTAAGTATATTATTCGATATTTATTTTCCTAATTCATTTAATGTATACCAATTAATGAACAAGAGAGCTGTACGCGCGTTGAACTCTTTTGACACTAACATCAAATACTTCACATTTTAATCAAGCATTCGTTTATTAGATGAATGCTATACAACTTTTACACTAACTTGGTACAACGTTTTATATAGCTAAGTTATTATAAGTGCCTACCAGTTACCATACAAATACAATAAATAGAAATAGTCTTTTTTTACACAAAACATACACAATATAAAATTGATAAAATCGGCTGATTTTTAGCTAAATAAGTCTTCCAAGCAACCATATACTAAAATTTAAAAACAATCGTTTTTCGTTGGATTCCCCTTAGCTATTTATCTTTTTTGCTGATACTTATAGCACCATCAGAAACACCTTTCCAACTCTAAAAATGACGCGGTTCATGAAACATAACCAGTTAAAACATACAGAGGGAACTGACGGTTAATTGGTCCCATTTTATACTTTGGACTACGGAACCCTCAAAAACCCTTTTTAAGATTATATATTTAATGTACGAGTAACGACTCATTTGTATAACCACAGTTCAAAATAAAAGATTATTGTGTATTAAAATACCTTCGCAACTCGTGGCAAACTTGAACGTAACACAATAACTGTCGTGTTAGAATCGTTTGGGAATTTCACGCCTAACTAAGGAGAATATTTAGTGTTCTCGAATCAAAAAATGTATGAGTACATGGTCCATTGTTACATACTAATATAACCATAATCAGGACGTAGAAAAATGCATGAAAAAGTGATGCTAAAATTACAGAGAGTTTTCTATAGAAATTTATACTAATATTATAAGGCAGAGCTGTTTGAATGTGCTTATGTCAGGATCCAGTGGTTCGAATTGAAAAGTATGTTTTTCGTTGGATAGAGTTGCATTTATCGAGGAAGGCTTTAGGCTATACAATATTACACTGCTATCAATAAGAGCGAAGAAACAGGAAAATGTAGAAAAGACGGAGATAATTATTTATCTTTGAAAGCTTCCGATGCGTGGGCTGTGGAAACCGATCAAGAAACAAAAAAAAATGAAAAAAAATATATTCCTCTACTATATGTCTATCTTTTAAGATTGACTCGCAAGAACGCCGGGTCGCGATCGACATCGTGGGTAATATCTATAATTAATATTTAAGTTAGTTTGTTGCAAAATTAAATTTTAATACCCAAAGTAACTATTCCGAGCGGAGAAAGTCGCGGGTACAGCTGTATATAATTATCATTTTCTCTTTCAGGGGTAAACTGGCGCTCGCGACACAACCTTCAACCGGCAACGACGACCGCTGGCGATCGGGCCGTTGGTAACGCGCTAACGAAACTCCTGCGCAAGTATCAAGTGAGTATAATACTTATGTACATATTTAGAAACATTTAACCCGTAAATATTTATTTGTAAATGATAGATTTTTAAAATTCTTTTTTTATTATCGATTAACATTAATGTTAACAAAAAATGTACGTATATAGAAGAAAGAAATATAAAGTGTGTTCACATCGAAAACTAACGAGAATTTTAAGTATTTAAATAAAACACTTTAACGCTTTAAAACGCGATATATTTTAGTTGAACTTGTTTGAAAATTATTTTTAACTACGTGACCACGGCTGCTGCAAAGTATCCGAAACTAAAATATATCCCGTTTTGAGCCGTTAAAGTCAAGATAATATACAACGATATTAAACGAGACATGCTTTTAAAATACTCACAAAATAACACGCTATTGAAAGATAAGTTATTAAAATATATTCTGTTATATTCCACTAATTCGCGTATCTGCCTGTATACATGCTGCTCTAAAAATAGCGCCACTTTAAACGATATAAAACAGGATTTGTAAGCTTCAACGCTTAACCTAAGTTTAGTGATATATATGCTTAAAGTTGACAAAAGTGTTGCACCTTGTTTACGCAAACTTTTATTCAATACAATAATAAGCATAAACGCTTAGTGGGTCTATCTCACTTTTATGAGTGAGAAGAATCCAGCTGGATAGGTGGAACCCCTTTGTTAAAGCAATCACTCTATTGCAGACGGTGAGATTATTACATAATAATGATCTAGTGTAACCTGACATTTACACTGGACAGGTTAATAAGACTCGGGCATATCATGAACTGATGGCGGGCCACCAGTATAAGTAATCAAAGACGACAAAGAATTGATAATAATGTATTAAAATTTAAAAAAGAATTTATTAATTTGAGTACTATTTTTGCAAATACTGTCTATAATTTACGCGAGTAGTACACATTTAAATAAAACACTTTAACGGTTTAAAACGCAATATATTAGTTAAACTTATATGAAAATTATTTTTAACTACGGCCCAACGTTTTTCCCCCGTGACCACGGCTGCTGCAAAGCATCCGAAATCGCATCATATATCGCGTTTTAAACCGTTAAAGTGTTTTATTTAAATACTATTTTTGCCGTCGGCGGCCGGAGTATGTGCACCAGTGTTTTATATATTCTTTTTATACGCATATTGTTTAAACACTGGTAGGCTGACAGTTAATCAGGATATTTCACAAAAAATATACAAGTATGATCGTTTTTTTATAATAGAGGTACACAGATACCCATGGGGTTTGCGTGACAGAAGGGAAAATATCTAAACAAGATGCTCATCCGAACGCGATTTTTTACGGATCTTTCATTGGACGGTGGTTCGTGACCCGGACTGAATTTACGATCTTCTTTCCGCCCATATAAACAGACCAAGTTTCAGAAATATAATTAACAGATTAGGAACATGTTAGACCAGGCGGAAATCGAACCCATCACCCATTATTAGCCATACATTGCTACCATTAGCTTAGCCCGTCAACATCGATATTTAAGATCACACTGTACATACATATGTACGTACTTTTAATTTGCGTATCGTCTGTATTGTCATAAGACGATGACAAACCATATTCCACGCGGTAAGGTCATAAGCCGAAAGTGAATTTTATCTCGATTAAATAAAACACTTTAGCGGTTTAAACGAGATCCATATTAGTTTAACTTGTTTGGAAATTATTCGAAATGCAATGCAAATTCGCATTGCAGCCGGAACGCCGGGCCGTAGTTAAAATTATTTTCAAAAAAGTTTAACTAATATATATATCATGTTTAAATCCGTTAAAGAGTTTTTTTTTAAGACGTGTACTACTCGCGTAAACTACAGATAGTATTCAAATTTGATTGCCATAAAAACGGTTCTTACCAGTTAATCTTAAAAGATAGGCATTTCTTTATTCGAACCAGTTGTTTTTGAGTTTACCGCGCTCAAACAAACAAACAAACTCTTCAGCTATATAATATTAGTATAAATTGATAAATGACTTTGTATACAGGATGTTTACACGGACTCTACCAATGATGGAACCATGCGAGCGCTGGCGTCAGCGGCTAAGCTAGTTCCATATGACAGCGCACTATTCCTAGTGACTGATAAGGCGCCAGGAGATCCACAGCGGTTGCCGCTGGCCCTACGAGCCTTGGTGGAGAAGCGATTAAAGGTGAAAGTAGATTATATTCATTGCTAGCTGTGTCAGTGATTTCCTCCGCGTTTTAGCACACTTCCTCTATATTTACATTTAGAAGCCGTTTCCCACGACGTTAGTCGCGGCCCGTTGTTATAAATTTATCTTCAAACATAGTGTCACGGCCTTTTTTTAGATCATTCAGAGAATCATTCTAGTCTACATAGTTTTTGGATATCTTGAACCTAGTTCGCGGCGTATGCACCAGAAACCCATAAAGATGAATAATTTTGTTCCTTCGCTCCTATTAGACACGGTGCGTTTTATAGAATTCATGATGGCACTATTTAAATGAAAACCCGATTTTAAATTGTTTTGTTTTTTTTTTAATTCCTGCCCAGGTCGTATTTTATTTTAATTTATAATGGATTTTTAAATTTACTAATCCATTTTCCAGGTGTACACTATATGGACGGACCCAAACTACCCTTCGGCAGAATCTGAACTGGCGCTGCAGGATTTGAAAAACATCTCCTCGCACACGGAGGGCGAAGTCCTACCCTTCGCGTTGCCAATATCGGTATGATTTTTTATACATATTTTTTTAATACTATAAATTTATTCAATCTGGCAATCTATTTAGTCCTAAAAAGTTTTTCGCAACCAAGCTTCAAATGAACGAAAAGATAATTCAATCGTTTCCGAATCGACAAATCATCATTATTTAAAACTGAGTCGACCGTGAAAAGGATTACGACCCACGCGGTTTAAAAATAAAGCGGTTTATCAGGTAGTCGCGACTTGGGAATCATTCAACAGCTGAACGAAATGCAAAGGTCAAATAATTAATTTGCTGCTCTCCACCGTTCAGGTATTCCAAACAAAAAAGTTAGTGAACGAAGACAGCATGGAGACTGATGTACCCGCCGAGTTAAAAATTTAGATTGCAAGGTTCAAAACGCGAAATATATTTTGACTATGAATTGCAAAAATCCCCTCTGGTGTTTATAATAAAGAGAGGAAGGTGGGATATCAAAGCCGTAGAATGTTACTTCTTCTTTAACCTTCTCGTGACCACGGTTGCTGCAAAACTTAGACAGATGGACTAACTAACAGTGTTAGAGATAGGCGCGTTCAAACGAACAAAGATTTTTTATTGAATTATTTAAGTATTGTCTATAGTTTACGCGAGTGTACACATTTAAGTGTAACACTAACGGTTTTAAACGCGATATATATAAGTTAAACTTATTTTTAAAATGGTCGGAGAGTCTCCCCGCGACCACGGCTGCTGCAAACCGTTAGAAACGTCTGACCGTAGTTACAAATCATTGTTTAAATAAGTTTTACTAATCAATTTCGCATTTTTAACCGTGGAGGGTTTTTTTTTAAATGTGTACTACTCGCGAAAACTATAGACAGTATTGCTTCATTTAAATTATCTAGATTGTATACATCGTAACATTTCAGGACTTGGACACGTCACTGTTAGCTGAGCTGCAGCAATGGAACCCTTTGGATGATCAACCCAGGAGGGCCAGGGTCAAGAAGCTCCCTGGCTATGACAATTTTGACGTAAGCTTAAATAACATTAAACAGATTTTTTGTATGATATATACGAGGACATGAGGTCGACTTGATGGTAGGCGAAAGACCCCAGCCGTGAGGCTTGTCCATTAAGCGAGGGGGGGGGGGGGTTTGGATAAAAATCACGAAAATAACACAAGGGGGGAGGAGGGGTATAGTAAGTTATCTCGTGTATTTATTTTTTCGTCAAATGCGCGATTTTTAAACAAATGGTGTAGACATTTTTATTATGGTCCTTAATTTCAGAATAAAATAAGATTATAGTTTATACCTATTTATATTATATCAGGATAATATTCGGAAAATTTTAGGATTCTTTGTAGGTACTAAAAATACACGTGATGTGGAGAAGGGGGAGGGGGGGTGGTCTTAAACCTCACTACGTATCACCAATGAGGGACACGTGATTAATGGACAACCCCTTAGGTATTAGGAAATCCACAAGCTGAAATCGAAACTCAATTAAACTTGACGCCATTTTCATCTGATCGTTCGTGACTTGGCCGGAATTTCGATATTCCTACCACTTCTACAATATCCAGATTTCCAGACGATGTCCAACATGTTATAGAAAATATATAAAAGAAAAATGTAGGATCCGTTGGCCACGAAATCCACGACCGACTATCAGCATCCACACAACAAACAGAACCCGACAAAAATTGTTTTAAACAAATTTTACTGTTGCATTTTCAATGCCATTTAATTCCCCCTAGACTCTTCTAATGAGGAAGGGAGGCGGAGAAGCAATATCCTTAGGGCTACCGGTGGAAAACGGGGTGACAGCATTGAAGATATACCTGGAAGGAGCTATAGAACATGCTGTATTGTACCCACCTAATGATGGTAAGATTACAGACTATAGATCGGTATGACCTAGACACGACCGTAGGGATCTCGACCGATGTTGACGATATTGACAAATTTTGTTGGCAATTCTTGTGTTATTTAAAAATCAAAAATAAATTGAAAAAATTTTCGACTCGGGCAGGACTTGAACCGGCATCGTCATCGTTCCGTGCTGTTGCTCTTAAATTCTTGTATTTTTTTCAATTTGGAGGTGGACAAGAGGGAGGATGGGAGGAATCGAATCCACGATCCATTATAAAAGTTATCCATTGTCACCATTAGATGAGATCTATGTGTGTATTATTAAATCATTATTTATATACTACAATGAAATGTAATAAATCTAACTTCCATATATAGTCAACATTGCAAACCGGCGCAACTAGTGCCATAAATGGCTGCGACCATAACCCTTTTGTGTTGACCTTAATATCTTTGCCTTGTTTTGAGGTTATTAGAAATAGTATTGTTATATTTAAATAAAACACTTCCAATCGTTATAAAATCGAAATATATAAACTTACTTTAACTACGACCCGACGTTTCATGGTCACACACTGCCGTAGTTAAGGGGGGAATACGGGCATCCCTTGCGTTAAACTCAAATCTACTACGCTAGCGCCATGTCGTCGTAATTGATATTTAGCACAAAATACGACGAGTTAAATTTGGCGTTTTAAACCGTTTAGAGTGTTTTCTTTTAATGTTATAATCGCGTTTCGGTTACAGTCTGTAGACTTCCGTCCAAAGACAAAATAGGTCGACATCGTATCTTGATTACATGTTTTATGGCTGGAGTAGTTCACCTCCCATCAAACCATAAACCATCCTTATGGTTGTTTGTCTACCTCTTTATTAAAAAAATGACACATGGACACATTTGTTTAAACTGCAAAAATACTCTTACTGTTATAGTAATACCATCGGTAATGCTATGTTACCCCCCCCTGGCTTCACTCGGGTGCCATGCTGATAATACATACACTACAAAAGAACTAAACCTTCCTTTTGAATCACTCTGTCTATTAAAAAAACCGCATCAAAATTGTATAGCACACATAGGGACAGAAAAAGCGACTTTGTTTTATGAGTATGTGATATCGTTACACTATATGTTTTAAGCAATTTTATTTCATATTATTGTTTGATATTACATAATGTGTTCTAGGCCAACAGATAGACCTATACAATGCATCATCAATCAGATCCTTCTCAAGAACATCAAGCTTCGAGGGTTTATCACCACGAGAGGTGTACCTGGTGTTTCCAAGAATGAGGCCAGACGAAGACATGTACGTAAATATAATTTTAACCTGTGTCGCGAAGCCAAAGAGAAAATTAAAGATGTTTTCTATGAAGACATGCATGTACTTTTTGTTTACGCGAGTACCTAATACACATTTCAACAAAACACTGACGGTTTAAAACGCGAAAATAGTAGTTGAACTAAATTGGACATTATTTTAACTACGGACCGACATTTACCGAATAAGTTTAACTAATATACTTCGCGTTTAAAACCGTTAGTGATGTTTAAAAATATGAATTTGATTTTAATAAATAAAATTAATTAAATAAGTTGTATAAAGGTATACATATATAATAAATCTATACCTATAAAGCTGAATGCTAGTTTGAATATACCTACACGCTTTTCTCAAAAAATACTGATTCGATTTCGTGTTGGTTAGGGCGTTTCTCAAGGAAAGCTTTAAGCTCTAGAACATCACGCTGCGACCAATAACAGCAAAGAAATAGATGGAAATACGTTCCGTTGCGCGCGCTGCCAAAGCGATTCAAGCAACCAAAAAATATATAGAAAGAATGATGCTTCTTTACGTGATCTAAAAAATGTACACGACAATATAACTTGCAAGAACGGGACGCTATAATTGATAAAGATTAGCAGTAGGTTTGCAAAAACATTTTTTTATGGCCAAAATAACTATTATACGCGAAGTCGCGTGCGCAGCTAGTACGTAAAATCGAGGTACAGCACAGTACGTCGCAGCTTTAATTCCCGCCTCTTCAATTGGTTAAATTTATAAAAATGTATTCAGGCTCTCCGTCCTCCCGGCCTTCCCTTCAGAAGACCAGGCCATGGTTGGTCTGTGGCATTTGAGCGTGCGCTGTGATTTATGCGACTATCGCTTCCGGGTTGCTGCTAAATCTAGCTTGCATTTCAATGTTGACGTTGTAGAGGGTAAGTACATATTATAAATCTAAACATAGCTAGACCGACTCTCATGTTAGACCAATTTGAATCGAACGAAACTCCTATTTTCTCTGACAATTTTTAGCAAGTGTTCTTCTTATAAATTACCTGTCTGTGTTTACGAAAATATTGAACATTAAAATAAAATACTAGTAACGATGACTCAGTAGCTTGGTTAGAGCAACGGCACGAAACGCTGACCATGCCGGTTCAAGTCCTGCCCGAGTCGAAAACTTTTTCAATTTATTTTCGATTTTTTAATTACTATTAACGGTTTAAAACGCGAATTGTATTAGTTAAATTAAAATTATTTGAACTACGGCCCGACGTTTCTAATGCTTTACAAGTCTCGCCGTGACCACCGCTTAAAAACCGTTAAAATATTTTTGCTATAATGTTAACTTATATCTGGTCATATCAAGCATATTAATAATTTACAAGTAAGAACAAACACAGTTAGTTCTTAACTGTTGTGGTTGAAGATTTAATTTATTTATTTATTCTCTATACCACTAATGTCCATCTTCAAATCTAAGTGATTGATTATTCTCAGAAACATTGCAAAAAGTAGAGGTCATTGACCCTATGGATCCTCCAAAAAAAACATCAAGAAAGGGAAATATTAAATTTTAAGTTTTTGATTAATTTTTCAAAGAAATTGATTTTACATAAAGTAAACAAGTTTATTTTTGAAAGGGAGCAAATAAACATTGCAACCGTTAAAGTGTTTTGTTTATTTAAATAAAACACTTTAACGGTTTAAAACGCAATATATTAGATAAAGGTGGTGACCACGGCTGCTGCAAAGTATCCGAAACGTCAGGACGAAGTTAAAAATCATTTTCAAATAAGTTTAACTAATATATCGCGTTTTAAATCGTTAAAGTGTTTTATTTAAACAAACATTTTTTTACTATAAATAAACTACACACGATACATATAAAATAAAACCGATATTCTTATTACAAGTATGATTTTAAACTTAATTTGGCTTTCGAGAACTCTCGGTAAACTTAAAAAAAAAACCATTTATCTTACAAAACGTCATCGTACTTACTGGTTTTTAATAAAAACTTTACTCAGTTACTGCGACAAAAAAATACCCATTGAGTAATATTTGTAATAGACAGTCAAGTAAGAACCGGACGAGGGTAGCGGGTTCCCTTTATAGGATCACGGGGCATCTTTTTTTATTATATCTATACTAATATTAATGCGAAGTAAGGGTTGTTAGGGGTTGAAAAGGGGTATGAAAGATTATATGAAAATACGTGATTTTTGAAGCTAGAACAAAAAACTTTCTTGAGTGAGAGTGGGAGTTAGAGTAGGAGTGATATGAAGTGAGAATGGAAGTGTTGCGGCCAAGTAGCACTTACAACACATATTGGCTGCCTTTAATGCGTCCTTTTATAAATAAATACACAGCCTAAATTATTAAAAATTCTACCCAAAGTCACTATTCCACACGGGCGAAGACGCGGGCACAGCTAGTATTATTATAAAATAACATAAAGAATTAAAAATTATATTAAAATTATTTTTTTTAAAGTAAAAGATCTTTTATATTTCACTATTATAATTAACTTTATTTCATAATTTTCTAGGACTCTCTTTTAATCTTTACAAGAACTAGACATATAACTATGTCTTTGTGTCTGTTTCACAGATATTCACGTTTTTATTGATCAAACTTCTCTGCTCTGTCCGACCGAACCATTTATAGTTCATACAGTATAAATAACGTATATCCAAGATTCAAGCGCAGAACCTCTAGTGCTAGAGCAATTGAATTAAAAATAACGGCAAAATGACCACGGAACCCTAAACTCAATAGTCGCAGACAGCTTAGCAAATGGCAAAAAACTCAAGTAAAAACTTGACAACTTTAACCAATATTTGAGCAAGACTTAATGCAATGAAATAAAAACATTGACGAATGTTTGGATAAGGTGTATTTTAATTAATAAAAGATCGCAATTGGGATAAGGACAGTCCATCCATAGGAGCCAAGCTGGTTACAAAGATACAAAATTCTATCAAAACATTTAAGTAAAGTAAAATTATTCAAATTAGTTCAATTGTTTGTCTATTTTTGAGGAATCGATTAATGAATTTATTAAAAAATAAATCCAACTCAAATTGCCCCTTGAAAGTAGTAGAAGCTAAGTTAAAATCAGTAGTTGAATATTTGTTTCTTATTCCCCAATGTTTATACAGGTAATTTCTTGAATATTTAATAACGTATTTAAGAAGCATAACATCGACCTTTGTACTTGTATTATTAACTAGCTGTGTCAGCGACTTCGTCCACCAGAACCGTTATTTTGGACATCCAAAACCCTTCATCTTCATAAACTTAAGCTGTAACCCACGACGTCGGTCGCGTCCATTCCCTTCGTTCTTGAGAGTTAATCGTTAAAGATAGACATATATAAATATTAGAGAGTATCTTGAACCGTTTTTGCAGCGTACTCCTCGGAATTTTCATTAGCTTGGATTCGTCACAGGGCAATGTTTTATAGCCTATACCTTTCTCGATAAATTCTCTAACCAACACAATGATTTTTTTCAATTCTAACCGGTAATTCCTGAGATTAGCGCGTTCAAACAAACACTTCAGCTTTATATATTAGTATAGATTATTATGTGGAATTAACTAAGGAATAAGTCTGTTAACATGTTTTGCTCTCAGTGTATCTTTATCTCTCTATATACATCTATAGGTAGTCAAGCGTGTTTATCATACATATAATTAGGTACATAAGGATTATTTTAAATAAAATTAGCTTCAGCAGTTTTAAAGATGTTTGTGTACATAGTTAGTAAGCCTTACTAACAAATAGCTATTGGCCAGTTAACTATCAATTGCCAAAAGCCATTTCGACGTAACACTAACGGCATGCCGTTACGATAGCACTTGGCACATAGATCCCTTTTCAATAAATAATTAAAAATACAAACATGCGTTACAGATAAAAAATAACCTTATTGCACGTGGATCTCCATCCCAAAATGGCGGCGCACATAATCTAGTCCAAGACACATTTAATTTTCAATTTCGAACAAATTTTCCGAATGACCACAGATAAGGTAATCGCTATAGTTTTTTTAGTTTAATGACAACGAAACGCACAATTTTAAATCCCTATCATTGAACGAAACAATAAGGACCACTTTTATTTAATTGACGACTTTTTTTGTTTGAATAGCATTAAAATAACATTATTAAGACTGTATTATGCTTTTAAAAGTGAATAAGTAAAAAATGTTAAAAACTGTTAAACGTTATTATTATGTAAAAGAAAAGTTAGTATTACCAAATTAATTTCTTGTATCTCGGTACATAATATGTTTGTAACTCTTACCTATAACGTATCGCGCTATATAGAATCAATCGAGATATTTATAAGGTCGTAACGACTTAGAGATATTATTTTAAACCGTTCATCATCTTTAAGTAATTCGTCGTTAAATATTACACAAATATTTTGACCTCTCAACTAGATAATTGGGCACTCGCCAATCACGCAGTTACGCAAAAATTCCAATGTCGGAAAGCCTAAAAATTGCCGTAACACACTTTTCGCAACGCAAAAAAAAACTATTTAAATATTTACAAAAAAAAAAAACATTCAAACACACTCGAAGTCTATGGTCAACACTTGTTTAAAAAAAGTTTCGAAATTCGAACACGCAGAACACAACGCGTATTGTAAACATTCAAAAATCGAACTGCAAGTGACGCGATGACGTCATGCGCGGGAGACGCTACTACGCAATTAATATCTAATAGGGAACTGATGTAAATATTGCATAGCTTCTACCGTGGTTTCACTTGCACCGTGTGGCATGTTAAGTAGGTAGTCTTGAATTTCTGTATCATTATAATACTTTGTACAACCGAAACTATAGAAATGTATTTTAATTAATTGCGTGATTCGAACCCAAGACCTACCGTTAAATACAATGAAAGGTAATGCATGCAAAACATTCAATCTGTACCACACCCATCACTTTTAATTATATAAAAAAATATAACTATAACACTGAAACAAGTTTTTACCCATATTTTTAAAAGTAATAAAAAATGGAATACGTTTTTATGAATGCACAGACGTACAACAATTATTTTTGTATTAGATCAGAAATAAATAATCTAAATACATTATTCAACTTGACCCTAGTTCACTTCGATTCTGATAATATTATAACTCAAGTCTTTAGTAGTAAATAAATTAGAATGACATACAAATTTATCCGACTGATGCGAAGTATTATGTTTTCTAAATGCAACTTGACTTGACGTGGTCAAATATAGTTTACGTCACTGGTACAAAAGTTATAAAACACGTTTGAAACGTTTGGGTGGGATTTATATAGTTGGATTAGGGTAGAAATTTTGTCCGTGTCACAAACCGCCGTCAATGGACGGATTAAATCCAGACTGAAGCCGCGTTCAGGTTTCAGTCTGTGGCTTACCAAATGTTACCAATCTAAAATACTTCCACTTAGAATTGATAGCTATCGGGTCATCAGCCCCATCAAATGGGGGGGGGGGGTTCGGTTGATAGGGCTTTTGGGAATCTTGTCATCTGTTATCGAAGATGTGACGTCACAACTCTTCCCGTTCACAGATATGCTGAAACTGAAAGTGACCGGACCAGTGGCGAGCGTCCGCGACACTTTGCTGGTGGATGAGTTTGGAAGCGAGTTAGCCAAACTGCCTTTCAGGTGAGGTCTAGACAAATGCCATTTATATTGTAAATATTAAATCTGGCTGTCACTCTAAGTGTCATCCATGTGGCAACACTGAAAATCGGCGCTGCAACAAATCTGTTGTTGCAGCAACGGCCGAGTGATGTCCTACCACAGCAAGGTCAATGTATGTAATAATTAGAGATGCGCCGATAACACTTTTGACGAGTAACGAATACCGAGTTTTATAAAAAGGTTCGCGCCGGTTAAAATCTAATACTAATCTATATCTTAAGCAGGCCGATTATTAGTCTCTGGACCTTTCTAAAAATTCAATAAGTACTATATATATGAATATGAACAAACTAACCCCTGAGACTTCGTCCGCGTGGAGTTGTATTTTTTAGCTTACAGCCTTCTACGATAAATGGTCTATCGTTTGATAAAATTAAAATGCGAACCATGTCGTTCAAACAATCAAACAACAAATAGAATCTTCAGCTTTATAATATTCTTCGCTACGATCTCGTGGCCACTGAAATTCCATTTTCCTCCAATAACTCTCATATTAAATGGAAAGTGAGACTTATAACTCAACAACAAAAGATAGTCATTAAAAGGTGACTTATTTATGAACTAATGTACCTAAATAGTAAAAAAGTGTTATTTTAAAACATATTGAATTAGAGGGAAAAAAATTTAGCAGCCTTTGAGATTTAATGATCAACCGCACGTGTCACCTTTTGCAGTTACCAACCACTAGCGGAAATGGAGGGAGAGAGCAACACAGACAACATCCAAGCCGAACTGGCGATACCTAATGTTGCCAGTTCGAATGTATATGTCAGAATATTCGGACGCGATATCAAAGGTGAGAATTTTATTTTACAACGAAAGGGATTTCCAGTTAACATCGTTTTTGTGATTTTACGGTTCAAAACGTGAAATATATTGGTTAAAGTTATATGAAAATTATTTTAACTACGTCTCGACAGTTCAATGCTTTGCAGCAGCGGTGGCTCCCCCTTTAAGTGTTTTATTAAGTGTACTACTCGCGTAAACTAAAGACTCTATTAAGGTGAACTATAAGTAGCATTCATAAGTGTACCTACTCACCTACCTGAATTAATAATTGATTACTTTAATTTTGTTACTATTTAACACTTTGTAAGCGTGAAAGATTGCATTTTGGATTTCACCAATCCTGTACAAATATCACGATTCTACCGAACACCTTAAAATAGTAAATCTAAGGCATCAAATACAGTGTTACAAAAAGCCACTAGTAGAATTATCGAATGTCTAATTAACATTTCCTCATTCCCAGGTGAGCCGTTTACGCGTTTATCCGGGCCCATCCACAGACAGACAGAGGTGCGGCTAGGTAGATCAGCGTCCATAGTATTCCCCGAGACTCCAAACGATTTAGAATTGGCTGAGGAGATTGACTCTATCATTTACAATGAACAGGCTGACAGAACTCCGTTTGCCAGAGCTATATCACAGGTAAATTTTGAATTAGGTTAAGACTGCGTGTGCGCAAGTTACTAATTGTATTTTTTAATTGCAAAATCATAGACGTTGTTATTATCCCTTTATCAACTATTTTTACTAGCTGATCTGGCAAATGTTATTTTGCCATATGAGGTATTTTGGCAAAATTGAGGTCGCCAGAGGCAGAGTAGCCTAACTGAAATTTTAAGACTTGAGTTATTTATATTTTTATATACCAGAAATGTTAATCTACAAGAGTAGTGACCGAAAATTGTTAACATAATTTTTACTCATATAATAGCAAAATTTCCTTTAAGTTAATTGCGCAGTTTGATTTTCTACTTTATTGAAAATCATGTTTTTTGTTAAATACTTTTTTTAAATTAAAAAAAAAAAAAAAAAAAAAAAAAAAAAAAAAAAGAAAAAAAAAAAAAAAAAAAAAAAAAAAAAAAAAAAAATTTTTTTTCCCCCGCGGGGGGGGGGTTGGGGGGGGGGGGGGGGGGGGGGGGCCCCCCCCCCCCGGCGGGGGCCCGGCGGGGGGGGGGGGGGGGAAAAAAAAATTTTAAAAAAAGGTTAAAAAAAAAAACGGGGTTTAAACCGTAAAAGGGTTTTATTAAAATGTTTTTTGTTGTTAAGCCACTTTGCCTTTGGCAGCCTCCATGTGTTTATTATAAAATCGGATCTTGTGACTTAATGTAAAAGATAGGCATATACTGCATTTCTTTGGATTATATAAAGAGGTATAATTCATATTACACATTTTGTGTGTATCTTGAACAATTAACACTGGACACGCAATCCATTGGAAAACATTATCGTCTCTGAGACGATAATGTTTTCCCGGTTATTCCATATTTCACACTTTTTTTCTTTATACCACCACTTTTTTACAGGTCTTAAATCAAAGTGGAATGGCGTTAACAACAATACAAGTCGGCTTGAGTACCAGGTTATATGGAGTCCCAGGAGATAGATTACAGGTACGTTTTTTTTAAGATAGAGAAGTACAGACATGCGTAGTGGTCACTTGATAGACGGTGAAACAACCCAGACAGACCAGATATCTTGACAAAAACGGAAGCCCCATTACTTGAACTCCGCTGTTCCATTTGCGTCAAGGTCCAATATCATAGGTCACTAATTGTATGAAAATCAATATCTATGGTGTAAAGCACCCAAATGTAAAAACAATTATGTATTATGTATATTTTTCATATGTTGTTGGCAAACAATAATGTTTTCTTTCTTTCTTTCAAATGTGTTTATCGTAATATTTGTCGTGTAATTCAAAAATGGAGCAATCCTGTACTCCGCTACAACTTAGCAAAGGTTAAGTTTAAAAACACTTTAACGGTTTAAAACGCGATATATTTTAGTTAAACTCCGTTTGCAGCAGCCGTGGTAAGGGGTAGACCACGGCTACTGCAAGAAACCGAAACGACGGGCCGTTGTTAAAAATAATTCTCAAAAAAGTTCAACTAATCGCGTTTTAAACCGTTAGTGTTTTATTTAAATGTGTACTGCTCGCATAAACTACAGACAGTATTTAAAGGTTAAGTTTAAATTTCGAACAAGTTAGTTCTAACATACAAACCTACTAACAAGTTAAAAAAAAACATTGCTTTGGTAAAAACTATTCGTACCTAGTTGTTCGTCAGCTAATTTTGACATTGGTTTTAAAGTTGTGAATTGTACTACTTAGTTTTAATTTGAGAAAAATACTAACTATGCAAGCCTTCAGTTACAATTTTACTTTCCAGTTGTACTTCGAAGTAAGCAACTATCGACAACAAGCAGTAAGATTCAACTTCGGCGCTGTTGGTAAACTAAATTTGTTGCGAAGCGTCGAACCCGAATTGTAAGTTAACATTTTTTACAAATTAATTATAAAAATATTCCTCTTAATTTATGTGTAATGGATTGATAAGCGTTTTTTGTACTCTTTTACGGTAGTCTCGATAATAAAACAATTTTAAGGCTTTAAAACCCTGATTGCCTGGAAGAGATCGCGATGTAATAAGGCCGCCCATCGCACTCCATACTTTTAGGAATTAAGTCTCTTTTGTATTATAGTATTCTGTGCAATAAAGTGTTATTTTAATAAAATGAATAAATACTGATAGATAAAAAATTAACATACATTTTTTTATTGTCAATTTTAATATTTTTTTTTATTAACGATTTGTTTTTTTATATTTTCATGTTTGTATTTTTTGTAATTTCTAGGGCTCGACTAACTTGTATTATATATTTTTTGTAACAATTTTGTAATATTTTAAAATACATTTCTGTTTATATTATTTTTAAGTGGCTATATTCTAATCTCTTGACCTCTAATCGACCGCCTTTTTAGCAAAATTGTGAAACGTATTGCCTAGCGTCGCGTTACGCGCGAGAGTTCTGGGTTCGAATCCCAGGGAAGCAAAAGATGTTTCGATCGGGCAGAGCATAGAAATCTGATCAACTACTTGCCTGTTAAAGAACGGACACAGAAATGTGGTCGCCCCATGCCCCACGAGGGGGAAACGCGATTTCACACACCATATTCTAACCTCGGTGTAAATATTTTTAAACAAGGAAGTCTTTAATTTTACTTACAGCCGCAACGTGGGAGCAGGGGAGACAGTAACCGTTATAGTCAATTTGCAAATAGCGACGACAACACCCCCTGGAGGACGGGACGAAATAGTTTTCAGTGTTTATTACGGTAAGTTGGTGAAGAGTATGGATTTTTAGTTTGAGCAGGGCGAGAGGTAAAATATACAATATTTAAGTCAAACACTGTAAACTGTTTTAAACCCGAAATATATTAGTTATATCGCGATACGAACCCTTAGAGTGTTTTGTTAACATGTTTTCTAGATATAACATTTTGCATTATAATTACAAATAATGTGTTTAAAAATCGAAAATAAATTAAATAAAAAAAATACGTCACGGTCTGAACTAGAACCGGCATCGTACTATAGGACTCGTTAGCTGAATTAGAGCAACAGCACGGAACGGTGACGATGCCGGTTCAAGTCCTGCCCGAGTCCTAAATTTTTCCAACTTATTTTCGAATTTTAATTTATATAGTAATGAATTTAAAAATTACCGATTGCAACATGTAGACTGTAAGATTATTTTTGTAATAAAGTTGTTTCATTTCAACAGGCACAGAACAAGTATCCATATCGAGCTACGTATATATCCTGAACCCAAATCAGGTGATAACCGACGTAAACGCCCCGGCCATCAACCACAACTTCGAGGGCTCCTGCATGCTACGTCAGGGTACAGACTGCGCAGAATACACCTGGTCTACCACGATCACAGCGCGAGATACTAACGCCGGTAAAATTTACTACTGTTAATCGAGCTTTAGCAGCAGTTGAGCAGTGCACATTTAAATCAAACACTTTAAAACGCTCAGTTACCGCTGCAAGAAACATTGGGTCAAATTAAAAAAAAATTAAGTTACCTATTATTTTAGTTGATTAACTATTAAATGTCCAATTGCTGAGGTGTGTTCCTTTAAGGCATATATATGTATATAATATATACTAGTTACTCTTTAAATACGCTGGTCTCCAGAACCAATGCATTTTACATACACAATACACACAAGGACATTTTAGCACGAAATTATCTTAATTTAGTTTACTCAAATAAATTTGTTTTATCCTTACGTTTATTTATATCGTTACGTTAGACTGTCTGATTATGTCACCTATTTTTCAGGATTGCTCCGCCTAACATCATCCCCACTGGGGGTGTTCTACGACAACAACTTCGTGTCTGGCTCGAAGGACCAAGTCACCGCTATGTATAGGGCCACTTGTTGCGCGCCACGCGTGATCATAAATGCAGTGGATGCTTTGGGTAATACTAATAGCTACACTATCGATATATCAAGTGAGTAATTACTTTACCGTATCTGTACCCTAATATTAATAATGTGGGTGTTAAACATGTTATTCAATATATTTTTGTCCACAGACTATATACCGCCAGCCGCTATAGCAGCTATTGTATTGGGTGTGATCCTGCTAACAGCACTTTTAGCTCTCCTAATATTCCTAATTTACTGGTGCGTGAGGAGGCGAAAGGACGTCAGAGACTTGCCTACTTACACATCTAGAAATGTTAGTTAAGATCATTTATAGCATTATGTTGTTATGACATTGTCCCAAGTCTATTACAAACAACAACATTCCACCAACAAGTAAATGTAAAGTGTTTGTAAATTCACATGTCAAGTCAAGTGTAGTTTAAACTAAATCAATCTTATGTTTGATGAAATTAAGTTTCAATAAAATTTAATTGACTTTCAAGTTTAAAATTATGATAAATATAGAGTTACCTATTTTAATTTACAAGATTTGGATATAAACTCTCTTTTGAAAACATTAATATTTTTCACATGTTATTGCACATGAAGGCACTATATAATTTAAAAATCGAAAATAAATTGAAAAAATTTTCGCATAAGACATTGAGCCTTAATACGCAAGTGTTAAGGTTGAAATTACATTGCGCGAGAGGTGCATGTATCAATAAGTTGAAAAAATTCGACGATGAGGTGTAGGACTCGGTAGCTCAATTGGTAGAGCAACAGCACGGAAAGCTGACGATGCCGGTTCAAGTCCTGCCCGAGTCGAAAATTTTTTCAATTTATTTTCGATTTTTAAATTATAAACTCTCTTATTATTTCTAAATTATTTGTTATCACTGCTATTCAAATTTAATTTCACTTGTTTCATTTTAGGAGCGCATAACAAATTTTTCACATAAAGATTAAGTCCAAAATATCAAGAATGTTTTCAACAGAGCTTAGATTAGAAAACTATTTTTAAATGTTTATCTTAGTTATAAATAAGGTTTAATTTAATATTTCAAATGTACAATCAAATGCTGAAAATGCCTACAAAATATTGTGGCATTCATCAAAGTTACTGTTTTTTACCTAACTGAAGCTGAAAGTTAAAGTTTTGTATAACCGTTTAAACTTTTGACTAATTATTAACAATGTTAGGGTGGGATAATGTAACTACAGTTACCATATGTATGTTAAATGTTAGTTTATTTATAAACCAAGTTAACGGCACCTTACTTAACACATGTTATTGTATATTGAAATAAATTACTTGTTCAACAGTTTAATGACAATTGTTAACTTTGGGGCTTTTATAATATTTTTCAGTTCAATAACAAATAATTTTAAACAACTTTTTGAAGTTCATTATTACATTGAGTCTGTCTCATAAATTTTTATGTAAAACAATAATGTCTTCGTGGCATTAATTTATGTTAGTAATAAAACATGTTTCATTGTACAAAATGTAAATTTAAGTATGCCTAAAGATTTCTAAAACTAATACGGGTAAGATAAATTATTACTAGTAACTAGTATACTAGTAAGAAGTGCAGCCATAGTTAAGATGTAAGTTTTTAATAAAGATATTTTGAAATAAATTTGTTGCCATACAACTCTATTTTCTGTTTAGAACTCCCCTGACTGAGGCACTCTCATAAGTCAACCGATAAGTAAAAAGTCATATTCTTTGCTGCATTACTTAAATATAACAGACATCTTTAATATTTGAATTGTCATCACTGATATAATGCAATTTACCCTTGCTGTATCAAACTCTCATTTGTTCAATTAATGTTGTTATATTTGTGTAAATGCATTGAAAAGGCCAAAGAAACCATTACGTACCTATCTTCAATCCTCTCTGTTACTCAATATAAAGCAATAATAATATATTCTTAATAACATAAATATGACAAGAACAACCAAGTGGAAGGAAACTTGGTTCTGGAGTATTGCGGTATTCTTTAAGTTATATAAAAAACAATAGCATTGTGATAAAATAATGCTATAAGACGTGAAATAATGAAGAAAATAAACTTGGGAAAACTGAAAAATCACACATTTTTAGGTAAATCTCGCTAAAACTGCCTGGTTTGACGTTGAAGGCGCGTTTGAAGTGGACAGACAAGGGTTATTATTGTCGTGATATCAAAGCGTTTTAAAACTTTTTATGTTATTAAATAGCACCCACCTGATCTTGGTATCGGTTCCTGGCTGGGCACAGCGGGCAATAAGACCGCATTATGCGTCAAATCCTCGATAGAAAGCCCAACAACGGCGTTGGACAACAATGGGTTTTTCACAACACTCCGGTTTATTTGATCACCAAAACCTTTCTCAGACATTATAACGCGATATATGAAATCGGTACATTAAAAATTTTACGCGAATTTTCACATTTGGAGGTCACAAAAAGTAAATTTAATTATGTGAAATTACGTGTCAGTGATAAATTTTTGAATTGTCATAATTTGTCAAAAGTATAAATGTCAAAAATTCATAATATCAATAAACTATGACTGTCCCTATGGCACAGATGCTTATGTATTCGTTACTCCGTATCAATTGACTACAGACTTGTGGTCACAAATATAACAATGAATAAGCAAATATTTTTTAAACTTATTAATCTAGTGTTTGTACCTCCTTCTTGACGAAATTATTAAAATACATAGATATATATCGTATATTATAAATGCAATATTATGTTTGTAAGTGTTACATTTCTATTGTAAAATGTATTAAGAATGAGCTGAAACTTGTATGAAAGCAGATTGTGTAAAATATTATTCTCTAACTATTTTAAAAAACAGTCGATATTACCGTGATGAAACTTTTATATTTATTATGAAATATATTCAATTGAAGTTTTAAATGGAATGTTTCAACATTACTGAAGACGATATTATTATATATTATTTTGTTGCGTTGCGTCTTTACAATTTGCATTGTTACAGTATTAACAATTTATAATACAGATTCTATAACATCGATTTTAATACTTTTTTATTATTCACCTGTGGTTACTTAGTACACAGATATAATAATATTATTAATTATTCTATAGGTCGGTAGGTATCTTGTCTATAGGTTGGTCATAGACTAAGTTATTTTATTTGACATCTGTGG